GCTGTATTTGATAACTTATTAATAACTCTAATTTAAACTCACAACCAACAGTGTTAATCTTACAAAGATCATAAAATATACATTGCTCCTAACCGTAAATTGGACAAAGATATTAGAATTTCTGTTTGTATATGAATATTTACGAAATATGTACCTACATATTAGTAGTGTTTTAATATAAGTTTCATTTACAAAAATATCAAAAACCAGTTTTTTTTTGTTAGCATAAACAAATATTTATAAGATTTGTATAGAAGTATCATTAAAGTACGCTCTTCGCTATATATAATCGTCTCATATTCCACCATCCCCTCCCCCAACTATAAAACAGCAAAAACAGCTAATGGCCATAGTTGCCGGGCTTAAAGTTCAATGAAAAAAAAAAAAATCGTCTCATAGTTATTAATAATATGGACAGGTAATAGAAATAACTAAATTTGAGAATTAAATTAAATTAAATTGTATTTGTTTGTAATTTTAGGACCAAGACAATATAAAACATTGGGTGTATGCGTGGTCCTCATCATATAATTTTTTATGAACACTGAACATTGCTAGTAATAATAATTTGAAAAACTTGTGTTTGATTCTTCTGCAAGTGGTTACCAAGTACCTATCTATGTATAATTTACACATACTTTAAGAAAAAGTTTGACAGGGAGAATCATTAATTGTATTAATGAAAGTCCAGATGAGTTGTAGGTTTGGGAAGCCTAATAAAGATAATAAATTTATAATTTAAACAATGGTAGGCAGTTTGTACAAATGTTTGGTATTAAGTAGGAGATCTCCCGTGTACCAGCTGGGGTCACTCGGGGAGGAAATCAAATATTGTGAACAACATTATTTGTAAACGGTGTCAAAATGCTATGCATACCTAACTGTCAGTTTTGTTATACACTGATGATTTGAAATCTTTAATGGAAATAATATTTTTATTTCAGTGGTTTAAATTATTTAGTTGCTTGGGCTGATAATATAATAATATCTTAAACCATAACTTTTTGATGGTCCATTATACTTAATAGTTGTCATAAAATAATTGTAAATACCTAGCTAAATATTATGTTCATCAGTAGGTATGTAATTTATTAACCATGTTATCGATGCAATTTACAAGAAAACAACATCAATATTCTCTAAAATATGTAGGATTTAAAAGAAAACATTTAATTATGTTAGGTACAGTCGTACAGAAAGTGTGTAAATATACAGATTAATGATTAAACTCCAACCTCCTAATGTGTGATTATACAAAAGTTGAAAAGTTTAACTTATTACTATTTAGGATTTGGAAAATTATGTGATTTAAGTCCGATCCATTAGCAACTCATGTAATATTGCCTTTTAAGAAATTTAAGAAAAATGTTTAATTTATACGATTATGCAATGATAATAGGTTTGAAGTACCTAATTATTATTTTCATTCCTATATCATTATTTATTTAGTTTGGTTAACATGTTAATCGAATACACAAGCATCGAGTTAATGTATATAATGACGATAAACTGATAATATTAAACAATATATATTATATATTATATTAATGGTGTAAAATATTAGATTATAAATAATTCAGTTAACTGCAGTTGATACAGATCTCGTAATTTTTTATTTATATTCAGCACCTAACCTCTCCTTTGGGCTTCGATCGTACATAATATACAATTATCGAATTTATGTAGGTAGGTCGTAGGTAACACGAAACACGAATAATAATTTATACTCTATTTTTAGAATTTATAAAATATTTAGGTATTTACACAGTATTTTATGAATTGTTAAGTAGAAATGCGTAATATAGGTACCTAGTACCTACTATAGTTTATTATTACCACAAGGGGTAGAACAAATAATAATTCCTATAGAATGTATAATATTGTCGAAAGTATACATTTTAGGTGTAAACAAAACATTTAAAATAAGCATATTGAAAATAGTTTAAAATTTAACTATAATTATACTATTGATATTTATATTGATATTTAAGGGTACATAATAATATTATTATTTTAATTTTCCAAAAAATCAATTGAAATTAATTGTTGTTGATTTAGATTGTACCTACATATATTATTTTATGATACTAGGAATGGTAAAATAATATGACTATTTATAATTTATTTATGTAATATTTTAATAATTTACGTATCAAATATGAAATAACTATTTTTTTTTAAATTCATTTTATTATAATACGAAAAAAAAAAAGGTAGGTAAGCGGATGTTGCTCTGCTGTACAGTAGGTTACAAGCGGGTCACTGTTTAATGGATGGTATCAATTTGAATTCAATGATATAATATCATTATTGTACCTATACGAAGAACGATTCTAAGCGGTGACGGTTTGTCAGTGTTTTTACTTATTATTAATACGGTAGCTGGTAAATTGAATTAATATTATAAAATTACAAGAAAATAACTTAAATCATTATTCTTGGTTATTTATGTAATTTCCTCCAAATTTGAACATAAAATAATTATAAAAAAAAAGGTGCTCTGCTGTACAGTAGGTTACAAGTGGGTCACTGTATAATGGATAGTAGGTATTAAATTTGAATTCAATGATTTATCATTGTATAAGAAAAACGATTCTGAGCGGAGACGGTATATCAGTCTAGGTATAATTAGACATATTATATACTTATCTATGGTATTAAAAAAAATTGACCTATAATAAATTCCAAATTAATCATACCTATCACAATATTCATTAGGTACTTATAACGCGTTATACATCAACAACAAACTGTGATACACTGATACTATCATAGATATATAATATTACACTTTAGAAGTTTCAAGTACCCACAAATAGTATTATATAATCACAACAAAATAACTAAAATAGTTATTCTAGGTTTTTTAATCTGTAATTTCGTCCAAATTTGAACTTAAAATGACTATAAAAATAAACTGTACTTGTGTATTTTTTAGATTTTTTGGTGACAGAATTAACTACTTACATGGAATCTTGTTTTAATTTTCAATCCTTAGATATAAAAGTTGAACTGCATTTTGTAAATTATTAACTACAACATAATTATTCAATTTTAAATTTGATAAATTTTATCAAAAATCGAAATTAAATTATATAGGTATAAGAAAAAAAACCAAAACCTATAGATTAGAACAAATTGAGTTATTTCATTTTTTAGGTCTTCCTGTTATGCACCCTGTCACCTTGTATAAAAGACTAACTATAATAGGCAATAGCTTAAACTTATCCCGAATTCGACACCAAGCTCGATACGTTTCTAGTATACTTATTATTTATACTTGTTATAAAGTAATTGTACGAAAACGATGTATAAATATAATTCAATATAACCAGGTTATGGAGATTACCAATCAGCTGAATTCACTTTGAATTATTTCTATGGTTTAGTTTTAATGGATAGGAATAATTCATCAACGTAAGAACAACATTTAAATTTAACTCGTTTAATAATTCACAAAAAATAGTTTTTTTTACCTACTTTTCAATATTTTTAATGTTATTTATGGAAACAAATAAATACGTATAACATACATAGGTATTACTATTTTTTTTCTTTATATAATAAGTCAGAAAATTATAATTGGTGATTTTTTATGAACTCCAAACAATATATCGATATCACGACAATACGCACCTATGCGGTATTCGCTAATTAATATTATAAATGTTTGCTATATTTTTAATAAATTATTTTGCTAATTATAATATACGTAAAACGTACACACATATCTATTATAAATTATGAATTATAAATGAAAACAATATACTGTTTTTGTGTCTTTGCATATTGTTAAATATAATAGGTGGGTTAACTAGACCGTTGAACTACTTGAACTCTCGTCGATTTAAAAAAAATACGAGTAAATAACTGATTAACTTTTTGAATAGTGATAACTGCTATGTTTGATATCCTAAAGTGTAACCAACATTATACAACATTCGATTAATATTAAACTTCGTAATCTTCATGAATTAATCAACTTTAAAATTGAAAGATTGTATTTTTTATAACTCAATTAGGCACTAGCCCCGTTAGACTTACCCCACCTGACCTTACAATTAATTTTATTTTATCATTAAATCGACGTTTACAATGCAGATAACTAGACCGGACCATATAGACCTAATTTGAATTTGAAGGCAGACCGAACAGGACAATTTTCTTTTTTAGACGAAGGGATCGAACCTGTTCGAACTACATTACATTACAATACACTAAGACTGAAAAAGACAGGACCCTGGCTCTATCATAAAATTACATGTTATATACCTAAGTACAATAAGTACATTATTTTATTTTCCAATCTATGTAAATTCAGCTATGGAAAACAACTTTGTATTAACCAATATTAAAAGCTAAAAAAAATCACAAAAATATTTTTTTTATAAACTTTAGCTGATTGAGTAAAAATAAACCATTTTCAAATCTAATATTTTTTGGGATAATGAGTATTAACTAGGTACCTACTTGATAAGAACCACCCTGTGCAAGTTACATAATGTGAATATGTCATCACAACACAAAGGGAATACAATATCCCTATGCATCTCGAATTTGTGGCTGATTATCGGGTCAATATTGTGTTGGGTTTATTCATTAATCTAGATTATGTAAGATAAAGTTAAGTTTAAAGAGTTGTTTGGGGCGGCGTCTTTTGGCCATATCATTAATTTTACTTTTACCGCCTGTAACGTACCTTATAATAAAACTATACGGTGAGAAATTAAAAATTATTAACCGTACATAAAACAAGCTACAAAAGTATTAAGTAGGTACCTGGGTATAGACGTATAGTATAAATTATAATAAAAGAAATTACTCAAAAATAAAATATATTTCACTGGTTTATTTAATCACATGGTTTTGAAAACAAACTATTATGAAATTCGTATAAAAAAAACCAATAATCACCATTGGATTCGTGTATGATGTTGTAGGTGTCTACGGAATTACTGATCTTTGGTTTATGCGAATGATCCTCTGCGAACAGATACCTAATGTTGAAGCCGGGCATCGTCTGTCTGCTGTTTGCAGCATATATCAGTCAACTGGATGGTACAGCCACAGAATTTCCACCACTTTTCGAAGACTTGATTAATTATCTATTAGATGGCGTAAATTATGAGAAACGTCAGACGCGAAACGAACAGTACGAGTTGACCGAATATGATTTTATCATAGTCGGCGCTGGTTCTGCCGGAGCAGTACTGGCCAATCGTCTGTCGGAAGTAAGCGAACATATCACATGATAATATTAATCACCTCTTACATTTTAAATATTATCTAGCCATCTAGATGCCTATAGTATTACATTACCTTACTATAGAATACTTCAATGGCACGTATAGGGTTGTAGAAAGAGTGGGTAGGGATTCAACCCCCCTCCCCTACACCTATAAAAAATTAAAACAAATCCTATATACACTAGGTAGTGGAATAATTTTAGAAATAATTTGTTAATTGTCGACCTGTAATTGTTCCTTGGTAGAAATCTCATAAAAATAAACTTTAAAATATACGTAGGTCACTTAAAATTTAACTTTATAGTAAAATATATAAGTGCTTCAGACGAATGACGTTAAATTTGTACAGCCCACATTAGTTGATCAAACAATGTTGGCTCATTAGTAATGACCTAATCGTGGTCATCGGCACTCACATTTATCGAATTTTGAATCATCGCAAATCACAACAAATGCTCAGGGGCAGCCAGGCTAGATTACAATTTATTGACGTACGAATAATGAATATATTATTATTGAATAACAATAACATTGTACAGCTACGATGGCGCTTCAGGCGAATTTGGTGTTTGCGTCTCAACAAATAATAATGCGAATGAACAGCTGTAACAATGGACTCCTACTTGTTTTAGGTGCACTCGTGGAATGTATTGTTAATCGAAGCCGGCGAAGAAGAACATTTCGCGATGGACGTCCCTCTGCTAGCCAACATGTTACAGTTCACCGATGCTAATTGGAAGTACAAAACAATGCCCTCCGATAGTTATTGTATAGGTAATAACAGTATAATATATTAATATCTGAGTATAGATAAAGAGTAGATACCTTTAACAGTGTTTACTGTTTAATTAGTATCTATGACCTACCACAAACTAAGATATTATATAAATACTAAATTTATATTAAGTAAATCCTACGCCTACCGAACATTTTAAGAATTTATCAAATTGTCAACTTATATGGTATACACTCATCATAATCATCATAATCAACGACAGTTTTATATACCTATCCAATATTTTAATATAAGGTACCAATGCATTTTTTTTATAAAAATTCACAAAACTGTCACAAATTTAAAATTAAATCATGAACTGAAATAACACGATGTCACGATCCTTAGATAAATCATTGATATGCCTAATAAAATGTGTGGTATGCATTTGAACGAGTTATTTAAATCATTGTAATTTGTAATGTGTTTGGGTGAGTGGTTATTCAAGTGGTTAGATTCACTAAAAACATAATTTTCAATCGAAATGCTTCGTTTATTTCGTTTTGTAGAAAAAATAAATTTTTTTTCAACTTTAATATCCATATTTGTTAGGTATACATAACAAGTAATACCAGTAACCCTAACACTATAACAAGTTCGCGTTTTTAATGCTGGAGCAAAACATCTTATGATATATTTGTGCCATTCGTAATTATTAAGTTAAGGTTAATATCATATAGGTAATATAATATAATATTTTATCTTAATCTTGTTCTTTAAAATGTTATCTTTTATATTATATTGTATCATACTCGTTCATACACAGTATAAAGAATTCGCCCTAACAAATTGTTTTTATTAAGAGCGTATGGAAGTAATTCGACCATGAAGCTGAATAAAATAACTATGATGTTAAATTTGCCTACACAAAACCCCTAAAAATACAACTAATGTTCATAAAATTCAACCTTTACAAGCATAAAAACAACTAAAAACTGTTTGTATGAAGAAACCAGAATAAATAATTATGATTCACAGTAATACCATTGAGTATATATAGAAAATATACTCAATGGTAATACTAAATTCTTAATTAACTCTTTATTTTACATACACATGTAAATGTTTACTTTTTTCTATCATATACCTACAAATAATACCAAATCATTTTCAGAATTGTTTTATTTAACTTATTATGATGATAAAAAATGGTCAAATAGTATAATTCCGAATAAATATAATATATTAGTAGCTGTTTTACAACTGATGGTTTTTTAACTACAATTTTAATAACAATTTCTAATAATTGTAAATTAAAATAAATACAATTTATGAAAATAATTATTATTTACTATTACAATGAAATATATTTTAAACTTCATAACTTTATTTGTAGGATAAAGTTGTTGATATATAAATACCACGATATAAATTTGGAAAAACTTTATAAAAAATATGTTTTATTTAACTTGATGATAAATTCAAAATTATACTAAGCTAGTGCTGTGTTAATGTAATGGGAAGGGTGAAATTGCTTTACAATGATATAATTTGTTAAAAACTGTTTTGTTTATACTTAATGTCAAAAAAAAAAAAAAAAAAAAATATATATAATATTTTATAGAGGAAATTGGTAACAATTCACAGCCCCGTGCAACACATTATAATCAACACGGCACTTAGCTGAGCAAAAAAACATAAGTTAGAATTATTCAATAGGAATGTCTATCAATAATGTCTAACTTCAATGTTAATACAAATATACATACACATATTAAAAATATATAATAAACACATTTATAGATAATTTAATTACATTTGTTGAAAGTTGAAAAAGTAAAAGGACAATAATTAAGAGCTAGAGAATAATAATAAATATAGTAAAATGTTAAATGTACCCGATCAAGCAAAATTAAAATAAAATAAATATAATGGGTAACATACAATGACTAAATATTTTACTATTATGGTTACCCATAAAATGGCAAAAATAATAACGAATATTTCAAACCAAGATAATGGAATTAGAAGCTTATATTATAAGTTTTTGATCACGTTACAATAAACTTAAAATATAAAAAATTTAATAGAAATTGTAAAAAACAATTCTATGTAAAAATTCTATTTTACCCCAGACATTTTTGATAAGACTTTAGTTAAATCAACACCAGTTAAAGCTTGAACAGCTGGAGGTAATTGTCCAACTAATCTGTTAACTTCTGCTGTTACATTACTATTTCCACTTAATAGTACAATTTCCTCAGTTTTAGACAAAGGTGCGACTATTTCAGCAGCAATTTTTGGTAATGCATCCATAATTAAAGACATAACGGCTGCTTCTTCATATTGTTTAAATACATTTGCCTTCAACATCATACCTTGAGCCTCAGCTCTACCAACGGCTTCTATAGCTGATGCTTCAGCAAGCCCAATTTTCTTAATTCGTTCACCTTCAGCTGTTGCGACTTCAACTGTTTGAGTTCTAAAACAAATTATAAACATTAAATATGAGACATTGTATTTTTTTTAAATTAAAAATTAGTGTTATTTTACCTCTTTCCCTCAGCAATTGCTTGAACACGATAACTTTCAGCTTCAGCGGGCAGCCTAACAGTAGAATTCAGTTCTCGTTCTCTACGTTCAACTTCCTGTACTTCAATTTCAATTTGTTTCTTTCGTTCAACTACTTCAATTTGTATTTCTTCATTTCTGATTTTTTGCCTTATTTTGGCAGCTTGTAATTCATATGCTAACTGTGCCTCAGCTTTTGCAGTGTTAACTTCCATATCATAATTAGCTTTTTGAAGCTTAAACATTCTTGAGTTATCTTCAATTTTTGTGTCTGTTCCGTATTTTACATCCATTGCCAACTTTTCACATTCAGCTTCTCTAATACCTGCATCACGGTTGGCAAGTGCAACTCCAATATCTGCATCTCTCTTCACTGCTGCAGTTTGTGATTTTCCAAGTGAAGTTAAATATTGAACATCATCAAAAACATCTTTTATTGTGAATGATAATATCTCAATCCCCATACGACCAACATCAGGTGCAGCTACTTCTCTTACAAGAGATGCAAATTGATCTCTATCTTTATACACTTCTTCGACTGTTAAAGTACCCAATATAGCTCTTAAATGACCTTCTAGAGTTTGAAGTACAGTTTGCTTAATTTCAATAGTAGTTCGACCAAGGAATTGTTCAGATGCTGTTTGTAAAAGTTCATCAGCTTTCATTATTTTACACTGAGCTACTCCTGTTACAGTTAACGGAACTCCATGAACGGTTTCAACAGTATCACACATGGGATTTAAAGTCATAACCTAAAAGATATATATATATATATAAATAAAACATTTAAATAAATAAATATAATATACACGATCATAAGTTATAACCTATTATTATAATTACCTCAAGAGATAGATATTGAACATCTGTAATAAGCCACCAAGCCCACGCCCAGCCTCCAACAACTGTTGTTCTCTTGGTTGATCCACAACACCCGCCTAAAAATAAAATGCAATGTTTTAGGTCATGTAAACAGGCAGTGCAATTTTCCAAGAGGTAAAGTAATGGGAGGTTCAAGCGTACTGAACTATATGATATATACCAGGGGTCACAAAAAAGATTATGATGGATGGGCTGAAGCAGGAAATGTTGGTAAGACTAAAAATCATACATCAAATATTTTATAAATAAAACTTATTTTATTGAAAATATTTTAGGCTGGAATGCAGACGAAGTATTTAAATATTTTCTTAAATCAGAAAATGCAAATATCACTCTTCGAGATTATGGTTTCCATCAAGAGGGAGGGTACCTTTCAATATCAGAATCACTATATAAGAGTAGGTTAGCAAAGTCATTTGTTCAGTCAGGATATGAGCTTGGATATCCTGTAAGAGATTTAAATGGAAAAAATCAAATAGGATTTAATTTTCACCAATTGACTATGAAAAACGGATTAAGACATAGTACCAACGTAGCGTTTCTTCATCCGATACGCAAACGAAAAAATTTATATATAAAAAAAAAAAGTCACGTAACTCGGATATTGTTTGATACAACTGGCCGTAGAGCAATTGGAGTAGAATACTACAGGGGAAACAAAAAATATAGAGTTTTTGCTCGCAAAGAAGTTATAATTTCAGCCGGAGCAATTAATTCTCCACAATTACTCATGTTGTCAGGGATCGGACCAAAAGATCACTTGATATCAAAAGGTATAGATGTTTTACGCGATCTACACGTAGGCCGTAATCTAATGGATCATGTGGCTTTAGGGGGTTTAACATTTATTGTAAATGATACAAGTTCAATTAAAACGCAAAGGGTTTTGGAAAATCCCAATAACCTGCATGATTTCCTAAAATATCACTCAGGGCCTATTTCAATACCCGGAGGAACCGAAGCACTGGCTTTCTTCGACTTGAATCGTCCTAATGATGTTGATGGTCATGCCGATCTGGAATTATTATTTATAAATGGAGCTGTTAGCTCAGATGAAACGCTTAAAAAATCATTTGGCATTAATGATAACGTGTACAACAGTGTTTTCAAAAATACAGAACAAAAAAATACATACATGATATTTCCAATGATCATGAGACCAAAAAGCAAAGGATGGATAGAATTAAAGGACCGTAACCCATTTCGATATCCAGCGATTTACCCAAATTATTTTTCTGACGAAAGAGATCTAGATGTAATAGTGGCAGGTGTAAGAAAAAGTGAACAATTATCACAAACGGATGCTATGAAACGTATTGATGCCAAATTATGGAATGAGCCCATACCAGGTTGTGAACATAACCAATTTGACTCGGACGATTATTGGAAGTGTGCAGCTAGACACCTGACATTTACTATATATCATTTGGCTGGAACGTGTAAAATGGGACCATTAGGAGATCCTACAGCTGTAGTGGACCCAAGGTTAAGAGTTCATGGGTTGAAAGGCCTAAGAGTTATTGATGCCTCAATCATGCCTGTAATTATATCCGCGCATACTAATGCACCAACTATCATGATTGCTGAAAAAGGATCAGATCTAATTAAAGAAGATTGGGGTATTATTATTTAAGCTTAGATATTTAAGAATGTAATAGGTAGGCCATTGTCTGTGATAAAAATAAAATAAAATATTCGTATTAATAATAATTTATTTTATAAATAGTGTATAATTTCTAGTTTAATTGTAAATGTTTTAAGATACCGCTTTGTATTATATATATATTTATATTAAGTGCGTTTATATTTTATAGGTAAATGTTTTTATATTTTACTTGTTAGTCATTACATTTTTTTTTAGATAATTTAAAGAGCCTAATCAAAGTTAATAAAGTAAATCTAATGGACTAAAAAATTTAATCAGATGTTGAGATATTTATCAATTATCTACATTTTACGGTCCCTGTTCAAAAATATATGTTTGAAATAAAACAAATTTTTCGTCTTATTTATTTTAATAGTATTGGAAATGAGGTATAACATGCACATAAGTGTTAATTTGTATTGTGTAATACCCGTTAAAAAACTGGCTGGTACAATTTGATGCTACTAGAAAAATATAAATGGTCTTTGATCAGCGGTTAATCATATATGATACTAACAATAGAACCATAATATCGACAAATGGCAATCATCGATTCTATAGATGAGTAGAATTACCGTAGTAGATATAATATTAATAAGAATACAACTTACAAGAATAGGTACCATATCAATATGATACTAGAGGACGCCGCACCCGCATGTGTTGTATCCGTCTTACAAACGCGTAACATACCAAATTGACGTTCAGAAATGCACGTTCTATGCCGTTAGCTTAAAAATTAGAGTGAATCAGGTCCGTTACATTAGCACCACCATATTCAATATTCCCAAAAAAAATATACCAACGATTGTTATTTTATTTGTACACATTTGTAATCCTAACATAAACATTTGTACACCTCCCAAAATGCCCCAAAAAAACAAATTTCCGCGGTGGTGCTAATGTAACGTTACACCAGCACCCCACTTTTTGTACATTCGACTTAGGGGCTCCAAAATGGTACCACCGCGGAAATTTGTTTTTTTGGGGCATTTTGGGAGGTGTACAAATTTTTATATTAGGATTACAAATGTGTACAAATGAAATAACAATCGTTGGTATATTTTTTTGGGGGAATATTGAATATGGTGGTGCTAATGTAACGGACCTGAGTGAATCGACTTATTATGAAACTCGACGGGAAACATTATCTGTGTTTTGTTGAAAGTTTTTTTACGTTAATTCAGTTTTTAAGTGAGTTATGAGCAATTTTAATTTACATTTATTATATACACGCTTAACTCACTTAAAAAATTGAATTATCGTAAAAAAAACTTTAAAAGTAGTACTTGATTTGAAAAAATCTTTAGGTACCTATCTATTTTTACGGGAAGAAGTAATAATAAGGATGCTTTAGATTGGTTAGATACTGAAAAAAAATTAATACACTTTTTATTGTTCAATTAAAATAGGATTAGGTAGGTACTCCGTACGCCATATCAATACCACTAAATGAATTATTGTAAAATTAAACTTATAAAAAAAAAACACAACATAATATTTAAGGTTTCTTTACAGTGCCTATATATGGAACCATATTTTAAGATTTTAAGCTTTATGTATGACTATTAAAAATGTTATCAATACAATTTAACTACAAAATAATTTGCAAATTTTTGAGATTTAACGAATTTAATTAAAATTCTATATTCAAATACACATAAAAAAAATACTGTAGATTTACACTTAAGTTTTTCAAATTTAAGTATAAAAATCTTACGATGAACGTAAAAGGTAAGAATTCAATCATATAGTTTTAGACCAAACACTTTTTTATCGAGATTTAGAGAAAAATTAATTTTAAATATCTAAATTAATTACTTATATTTATTTATTTAAACTTGACGGGAGAAAGCCCATTTAAGATATAATACAGTATTTGGTATTTACATTAGTAATATATACGTATTATATTAATATATGGATAGGTACAAGAAAAAAAATTTGGATTTTCAGATTTTGCTTAAAAATTCCCGTTTTTCCTTAGTTTTTCTTTTGTTTTTCACTGCGCTTCACTACTGGGAAATTTTTACTTTTGACCTCCCAAAGTACCAACTAGATTCACTTTCCTATCAGATAAGATTCTGTTGAAGAAAATCCAAGCACTTTTACTGTCCTAAAAGGTGATGACAGACACAAAAATAAAATAAATTAAAAACAAAAAACACACATCATTGTAAAATCAATACATTCATCGTTCCACTCAGAATCTAAAATGAGTAATTTGGTGAAAGCAACATAATCCATTAGAGTAGGCAAAGGATGTGTCTAGATTGGCCTTCCTCATACAGCGAGTGAGATTTTTATTATTCAGGTAATTACAAATTAGTAGCACATAATGGTACAGTGAACTGTTACGGGTAGGATGCTCAGGGACTCTAAGGCTATGTGCTGAAGGCGAGAGTAGTATCTATTTTACCACATTTAATTTTGATATTCTGAAGTAAGGTTAAGTCACGAGGAATACGGCGATCGGTCAGAGATAAAGTATAGGTTCAAATTATGGAGCACCGCGGCACAGTCATGAGGATGATGAACGATATTCAACTTGATCCCAGCGAAGCTGAGAAACTTACGCTAGACTAGCGATTTGTTGGTAGTGTAAATTAAGCTATCTACTGGCATTTAACATGTTTGAATTTATTTAATGTGTTGTTAAAAATTTTAGGTTACATTTAGGTTAAATTTTAGGTAGTTGTCAAAAATCTTGTAAATTAAATATAAGATTTCGGCATTTCGCATAAGTTGTTCTTTTGGCAATTTAAAAATATTCAAAATACCTACATAGGCACAATTTTTTTAAAGCGTTTAATGCGCTCATGTTGACAAAATTCGTCAAAATAACCAAAATTTGTAAATTATTTTGTAGTTAAAAATGTATAAAATGTCCAATTGAACAAATTAATTTGTATAGCTAAGGCTTGAAATTTAATACATTTATAATACAAGATTCCTAGTAAGTAGTTCTGACTAAAACCAAACATTTTTGAAATATATATATAGGTATATGCAGGGCCGCATTTAGGGGAGGGCGCTGGGTACAACTGCCCCGGGTGCCAGTATCTTAGGAGCGCCAACATTTTGTGGTCAGAAACTTGTTTACTTGTAAATTATTAAAATTTTATAATTTTAATTATTTTAATAACAGTATTACATAATAATATAATTTAGTATTATAATAGTATTATATATATATATACAGTGGCTGAGTGGCGGCGGGATATAGGATTATTTTTTATCTAAAATGGGTGGGTGTGTGTATAAATTTATATATAATCGTAAGACCTCAACACAAATATCATGGCAAATATTATAATATTATAATGCTGCTAATTTTTCTGCAATGAAGTGTATATATACGATGGTAAAAACATTTAAAATATACAATATGCTTCAAAACCTCCACAACTTCGCGCCGTCACTGAATATATTATATAGTATTATGCTGTTTGAAATTTTTTAATTAATATTAACTTACATAGTTTTATATAATTTTATTTGATTTATTCATGAAGTACCTACATAAATATGTTTAAAAAAAACAACTTATAGGTATGATGAATTATAAGCAAGGTTTAAGTGACATAAATTCAAACGTATCTTTGCGGAGAGAGGATCAAGCAATTACTAAACAATATTTTTAAAAAAAGCAAATATTGTAAAACAAATATTCTTTTCTGTGCTCAAAATCTAAAAGGTTAATGAGGATCTATCTCCCATATTTTCCGTGGGTAGGCCCCTTAGGGGGGCTTAGAGGGCGCCAATTTTTTTTTTGCATCGGGGCGCAAAATGTCTAAATGCGGCACTGGGTATATGCACACATATTTTATATACAAATACAATGTTTTAGGCTAAAATTAGTTTTGTGTTGTATTACTAAAAGGAAACTAAATTATTTAAATATAGCAATAGTTAATATCATAAGTTATAGTATGTAATATAGGCTGACAGCCCGTCTTTGCTCAGAAACGTTTTTCGTATGCAATGATTTACTATTCAATTAAAATTTAGCACATCCATTACAGTGACCCACTCGACACTTACTGTACTGCAGAGCGGTATCCACTTTCCCACCTTCTTAATTTTTAAATTATTAAATATATAGTTTAATTAAATTCACAATTTACTCTCTACTGTAAGATTTTAAATGTTATGGTAGTTCGATATAGAAGAGATTGGATCATGACCGACTAGTAATTATACTATGCAAATGAAAGGTAAAACATTAGGTACACCTATGTCCTATACTCGTATTAACTTTACTGGATAAAAATATATTGGGCCGCTTATAAGGAAAACTGACATTGAAATGTGGTCGACTACTGCTTCGGTCTGGTTAGAAAATGTTTTTTATGTCAAGTAGGTTGTAGTTACCTATATTAATCATCAATAATTTTAAATTTAATACGGCATACCTATAGGTGTTAAATATTAATATATTATATGATTTCTAATAATATAGATCCGGAATCATTATACGGAATTTAGTTTGAGTGCCATTGGTAACACAAACTGCCATTAACATATTATAATCGAAATTCAAATGTTTACATTTTTCTCTTTTTTTAAAAAGATTTTAGGGGTTTATACTTTTTTAAAAAAATAAAAAATTAATGTTACTTTCCAGTAAACTTTTTTTTTGATTAAGGTAAAAAACATTTGTTATTTTCTAACTGAAAAATAGTTTGAACATTTTCGAAATATGAACTTTAAACGCAAATAAAAAAAAGCGGGTAAGTGGATGTCGCTCTGCTGTACAGTGAGTTACAAGTGGGTCATTCTATAATGGATTGTATCAAACTCGAATTCAATGATATTATATCATTGTATAAAAAAAACGATTCTGAGCGGAGGCGGTTTGTCCGTCTGGATATTTTATATTGTTATTATTTATTATATCAATTAAGTTGAATTAATATTATAATATTATTATTTTTTATTCGTTTCTATGGTGATAGACAAAGCGTTTGAAATTAAAATCCCATTTTTAGTGGTTTTTCGTAATTTTTCAGTAGTTTTTCCCGTGGCATTAAATAATTATTGAGAAAATCAAAAAATGCCCTCTCTAAAGTACCATCTTGATTCAATTTTCTAAAAGATAAGATACTATATGTTGAAATCGAAGTTCTCCTTCTGGTATAAATTTTGTATACAGGATATAAAAAGTAAATAAATAAACACCATTGTAAAACCACTACCTAACTTTCTCGCTCCGGTCAGAATCGAATAATTATGCTCATGTATTTTTAATATTTTTGAACTTCCATTCATGAAACTTATAAGCAGGGCTCGTAAGTTCATGCATCAGCATGTTTTTTTTGCCACACAGGAAAACATGCTAACTGAGATACAAATCCGTTTCATAACAATAGTAATAATAATATGAAGTTTGATAGTGCATGTTTTTGCATGTTTTGGGTGTAAAGTCATATTTGGCATATAGTTGATTTTTTACAGTCGTTAGTGCATATTATTTCATAAAAATATTTTTTAGACAAATATTTGAAAAGTTTCTTCCGGTTTTTGATATCTTGTTCCAATCGTCCAATATAGCATGGTAAATTATAACGGTTTTTTAAATTTTTTATTGAATAATTATTTAGCTAATTAATAAAAATATCGAAAATCAGGCTTCTTACGATTGTAAAAAAAGTTCTACTTTACAATTTTTATAATAGGTATTTTTACTGTAAACCACTTCAATAAGCCGTATTACTTGAATTACGAAACCATGGTTTTATGCCATATTTTATCTACTTATGCGCCCTCTTGTTGGAAAACATAAAAAAAACACTTATAAAATATATATTACTAAATTATCCCAAAATGAAAAACCTAATATTTCATTCCAAATGTTTTCATTGCTGGTGATGAATAAGGGTGTACAAAAATTAGACAAAATTGACTACCTAATTAAAATTTATAAAGATGACAAAGCTATTTGAACTTCACAAGTATTAATTTTATTTTTTATTTTATTAATTTTGACTGTTAAATATATAAAAATTAGGATGAATAAAATACTTTTAAAATGTATGGATTTATTCTTATTATTTTAAAATTTGGTCATGTTTTTTTTACATAATGCATATTTTGAGTGCATAATTTAAAAATGTTAATGCATATAAATGCATATTTTTGAACTTTTAAGTGCATATTTTAATGCATATTTTGACAATTTTTAGTGCATGAATGCATGCTTATTTATGCATTTTTTAGTGCATGAAGTTACGAGCCCTGCTTATAAGGAACCTTGCATTATATTTTCGAGCTTTTTTACATAGTGAAAAAGTTTTTATCAAGAAAAATTTAAAAAAAACTAGCTGAAAGAGTCAAAATATCAACAAAATTGTAAAAATTATCATAGCTATAAATAGCTCAGAATCACCATTCATGGCAAATGCTAGTATATAGAGCTTTGGTAAACATTTTAAGGGTCTACAATTATCAGTTTTTGAGTTAGGTACACCAAAAAAAAATTTATTTTTACTAAAATTGGGTTTGCGTAAAAATTACCACTTTTTTCTTGGAGCTTTGTAATACTACTTGGAATTTTCAATTTTGACCTCTCAAAAGTAACAACTAGATTCACTCTTCTATTAGAAAAGATGTTAATCTCGAAAATCAAAGCATTTTTACTACCCTAAATGCTGATGACGGACAGAAAAAAAATATAATTTTATCATACAATATATTCTTTTGCTCCGTTCAGAATCTTAAAATTGAAAATGTCTTTAAATAGTTCAAAATAATTTGAAAATGTCATCATGTACAGAAAATGATTGATTTCAACCATCTACGGTTAAGAGGACGACTGTATGTGTTGTCGCAATCTTAGAAATGTACAACATAGCAAAAACTATTTTGAGCTGGACAACTTTTTACTCCCTCTATATTTATAGTAGAATTACCAAAATTCCATAATAGGGAAGACGGATAAAACACATGCGAGTGTATCCGTCATCTTAATAGTTTTTTAATTACAGCAAAAAAGTAAATAGTTCTATGAAAATTTATTCATTTACACATATTCAATATCTAATTTTAAACGCTCGTAAAAAATTAATTATTTATAAAAATAATTAACCAAAAATCAAAATCGAGTTTTTTGAAAACCAATTTTGAGTATAAAATCTCAGTTTTTTCTTAATATTTTTTTTGTTTTACCTTATGCTTTTAAAAAATACTGAGAATTTTTTACTTTCGACTTTTTACTTTATTAAATATTCAAAAGATCCAAAGTAATAAAAATGCAATACAGGTAATTAAATAATTAAGTAATTTTGTGCCATATATATTTAAGGAAATGAATAAGTTTAAATATTACAATAATTGTTTGTTAGTTGGGTTCCTTATGTGCTTATATGAAAAAAAATATGCCTAATGCCAAATAACCTGTATTGAAAGTTCATTAACCTACCACATTTTACATCTTTAACCAGTAAATTATATGGAATGATAGGTATAAGATATCACTTGATCACGTTTAGTAGGAGTAACAGTATATTTGCAAACATTGAATAAAAAGTATATATAGTGGGGAGATTGACCTAAAATAACAGTATTGTTTGAATGATTTGACACTGACATTGGTTGTTGTCCATGGCCAAGTACACTGACACTCGATTCATAATGAAAATTATTGTTATAATATTTGTATTTTTTATTTCATCTTCATCTTCAATACTTGTAGAATTATTCCAGTCAATTTATGGACAGTATCTACAACAAGGAATTCCTTTTAGGGAAAATACTTTTTTAGGTAATAAACCAATATTACGTGAGTATGATTTTATTGTCATTGGAGCAGGTCCAGGAGGCAGTGTCGTTGCAAACCGTTTATCTGAACAGTCAAATTGGTCAGTACTATTATTGGAAGCCGGTCAAGATGAATCTGTATATACAGATATACCAGGAGCAACGGGATTTTTAGAAGCAACAGACTATAATTGGGGTTATACCGCTGAGCCAGAAAAAAACGGTTGTCTAGGTTTTAAAAATAATCGTTGTCCATGGCCAAAAGGAAAAGGCATGGGAGGATCATCAATTATAAATGCCATGTTTTACACAAGAGGAAAAAAAGAAGATTATGATACAATTGCAGCACTAGGAAATGATGGTTGGGCTTACAATGATGTATTGCCATATTTTTTAAAATCTGAAAACAATTCAGTACCAGAATATCAAAATTCACCTTTTCATTCACAAAAAGGAAATTTACACGTTGAACGTGTCAGATATCATTCACCGCTCGCTGACAAATTTATAGAAGCTGGCGGAGAATTAGGATTAAATAAAAATATTGATTTTACAGTTAATCCGGAAAATGGAGTATCACGTTTACAAGTCACAACTCTAAATGGACACAGAGTAAGTCCAATTAATTATTAATAAAAATAACAATCAATATAAGCTTACTAACTTTATTAGAAATGTAGTCATAAACAATGTATTTTACACTTATAAGTTCTAAACCAATAACTATCTAGGAAGGAGCTGAGAGAAAACATTTTTTTAACAACTACCACTCTTGCCATTAAACTCACATATTAATCACATAATAACTGCAATATGTAACATAAAAAATAAACTTAAATATTATTTAAAAATGTATATGATTATGAATAATTATGATATTCCAAGTACTTATAGTAGTCACTATTGCCACTATTTCCATACCAGATAAATATTATGTATGATAAATTATAATTTATAATTGATTTATTTATTCAAAATTAAATGGTAACGGTCACCTAATTTATAATATATAGCGTTAACACTAAACAGTGTATAATATTATTCATTACACTGTTTTTTGTCACTGCTGCATATCTATCACTAACGTGATAATGTGGTTCTTGAAGCGTCAATCGAATCATTCTCTATGTGCAAATAGTGACTGTTCTCTTTTGAGACAGGGTAAAGTTATGTGTTATGCCGTCTATCAATATACTAAGCATTGTTTTTTTTTATTTGAATTATTTTAAACTTAATTATAATTTTTTTTTTTTTTAACTTTATACAAAAATTATAACTGATAAAATTGTTTGTCCTTATGTCACGTTTATCATATAATTACAGGTAATTCCTATGTTTTGACTAATTTCTGATTATTTTAATATTTCTTATATAATAAATGCTCATTGTTCACCTAGTCTTTAACTAGCTCGTTAACTATGTGGTATTTTTAAATAATTTATATTAATTGGTAACTATATTATTGACTTTTATAAAAAAAAAAAGTAATGTCACTACATGAGCTGAAATACAATTTTAATTTATGCTAATAAATTAAATTTAAGAATCAATGATTAAAAATTATAGTTATAGGTACTTGAGAATTGAAATATATCAATAACAAATTATTCATAAATCTGTTAAAATTCATAATTTTTTTGTACTCTTTTATGCACCTAACCCTGATTAGACATTTAAGCAAATTTGTATTTAATTGAACAATTTACAATGTTAACATAAGTTACTATATAAGTAACTATTTCTATGATTTATAAATTATAAACCTATAAAATCAACATAATATATACAAATCACAGCGTTTCACCCCCGCACGGACTTTTGGTCCCTGTCTATTATTAAGATAAGACATTTGGCCCCCGAGAGTTAATATTATTGTCGTTGTCTTTGTCGCCGAACAACGCAAACAAAATTAGTAATTTCACAAACAAAATAATAATAACAATAATAATAATTTAGGTACAATTATATTAAGGAAAAAAAAATTATGTTAGGAACTTAAAAGTATAATAAAAATTGTGAAAATTATAATATGATTAAGTAATTAACTCATTACTCATGTTAGGAAATTCCCAAAAATAATATTTTGAAAAAAGTTGTTTTATTAAATCAAATTTAAATTTTGTGGCCATCCCCACATATTAATATAAATTATATTAAAAATGTACGTTTTTTTAAAAACAATTCAAATTTTAAATTTTAAAAAGCCATTTAAATGTAGTGATTTAAAATACTGGGGGCCAAATCCTATGCGTAGGTAAAAAACATCACATAATTCCCGGGGGCCAAATGTCCTATCTTAATAATAGACGGTGATGAAACATCGATAAACTCTTATACCTATTACATCTAATTATTTGTTTTTACGATAATTGGTTTCTGTTAAATGAATCGTTTTTGTTGTATAGGTAAGTGCATCTAAAGCCTATATTCGCCCAGTCAAAAATCGACAAAATCTCCATGTGGCTATATTCAGTCAAGTAACAAGAATACTTATTGATCCAAAGACTAAAAAAGCGACAGGAGTCGAATTTATTAAAAAAGGAAAACATAGAACAGTATATGTTAAAAAAGAAGTTATTTTATCTGCCGGTGCAATAAACTCTCCACAATTACTTATGTTGTCAGGTGTTGGACCAAAAGATCACTTAAATAATCTTGGTATTCCAGTAATTCAAGATTTACCAGTAGGCCAAAATTTACAAGAACACTATGGCACAGTCGGTATATTCACATTATTATTTTTATACCCAACAACATGATACTTTAATTTTAAATTGTTTTAATATTTTTTTTTTACGTAAAAGTTAAACAGTTATTCCTATTTCATTATTGACTAATATAACTAATATCCGTATATAACTCAAACAAACTGAAAAGAGAGTTGTACTTGCATAAATCAAGTTAAAAATCCATAGCATATTTTTATAAGAAACACAAAATTATTTGATTATCCATTTCAATTGACATTTGATTTCTTAATCTTACAACATATTATTATCTCAGTAGGATAATATTTAAGTTAAATTATAAAAGTATTTATGTGGTTACATAAATTTACATTTTACTATTGGCACTTATATAAGTAATAAGTTGGTTGAAAAACCAGTTTCAATTTTTTTTTTTTGTGCATTTTACATGGGTATCTGCCCATAAAGGACTGAAAAATGAAAATTTAAACTTTTAATTTATAGTATGTTTTTCATTTATGTGATATAATCTAACAAGCAAAAGTATTCAAAACATAAAACTTTGAGTAAATAATTAATTTGTTTGCAATAATTCACAATGTAATTGTGTGAACACATTTTGCTCCCTTAGAATAAACATAGAAAAAATAGCAAAATACCAATATGTTAAAACAATTTGAAATTAATCTAGATTTTTTATAATTTAGGAAATGTATAAATATTTAATGAAAATATTGTATTGTTTGTTGTTTAGCATTGGAATTCATAGTAAATCAAACAGGTCCATCACTCAACAAGCAAACTATATCAAATATTCATTTATTTGAAGAATGGTTCAAATATGGACGAGGACCACTTACGGTACCAATGGGGGTAGATGGTTTAGGCTATATAAGATCACCATCCGGCAAAGAGATTGAATTAATATTTGCTCCTTTAACGGAAAAACCAAATGCGTTCCTCATAGCTACTTTGTTGTTACAACCAGATGCTCGTGGAAGCGTAACTTTGAAAAATAATAACTCATTGCATCCACCCATTATGTCTTATGGTTATTATGACAGTAATACTGATCTAGAAGACAATGTATATGCACTTAAATATGCAGTTAAATTGGTAGAAGAAACACAAGCATTTAAAGATGTGGCAGCCAAACTTAACCCAGAACCATACCCAAATTGCAGGCACGTAGTATTTAGATCGGATGATTATTGGGTGTGTTTATCAAAACACTTGACAAATACTTATCATCATCAATGCAGTACGTGCAGGATGGGCGATGTTGTAAACAATAAATTACAAGTAATTGGTATTCAAGGATTAAGAGTAGTAGACAGTTCAGTACTTCCCCATATTCCTAGTGCACATCTTTACGCCCCTACTTTAATGGTTGGCGAAAAAGCAGCAGATATGATTCGGAGTTATTGGTCATAGAGCCAATGAAAAATTTAATACACTACCTATTTATTGATTTCTTTATTTATTTCTTTATTTATACTTCAAATAATATTATACCTAATAACAACGTAGATACAAGTAAATAAAAATGGCATTACTTACCAGAAACAATTAGAGCTTTGTTTGGTCCAACAGTGTGTATTTGTCCCATTTTTTTGTTATTAGGTACTTATTGATAAATAATTTTATAATTCTTTAAATACAACCATAAATACAACAATTTAATATATTTAATCAAATTACGTGTTTTTGTTTTGTCTTAGAAATCAAATTTGATCTTTAATTACTATTCACTACAATTATTTCACAAAAAAACTGAAAAAAAAAACTATTTGATTGTTATTAATTATTCGTAATAGGCAATAATTAATAAGATATATTGAAATATGTAATAAACAATATGAAAAATTGATCAGGAATTTAAAATATATTATACACAAATGCGTGTCAAAGAAAAATAAAAATAAAAAAAGAAATTTGATCTTATTGAATAGTTATTGACATTTTAAATAACTAGTAAGTATCAACTATGCATCATCTAAATTCAGTATACTGTACTATAGGTAGATAACAATATTATAACATTAAACATTAGCGATTGGCATGTTATTATTATTTATTCAAAACATTCCAGCCGACGCCGAATGCCGACGCCAGTGTTACTCCATATAAAATATAATAACATCATAAATTAAATGACACATTTCTGAAATATGAATCCAAGGTACCACTGTGAAATATAGTGGTTATATAATATATATAAATCTTAAACCATGGTTAAGCTGTAAGGGCCGGTATCATTGAGATAGATAACAATTCTTATCTATCTCCATTCTCCATATTATTAATAAATTTATTATTCTATAGATCATAGCATGAAGTTCATGGATCATAGATTTATAATTTAGATATACATAGACCACAGTCCACATTCATAAATAGAGTTATAGACATGTATAGAACTTATTCATAATCGTTCTTTATAATCTTGACTTATACATAGCTAATATTATCTATGGACATATACAACAATAATAATTGTATTTACTATTTATCTATGATCACGATAGAGCTGATGACCAGCTTTTGCATGACAAATTATATACATGTTAAATATTTGAATGTGTATTTTATAATCTTTATAAGTTTTTTTTTAATATAGGTAGTTTTATATTCAACTAATTTTTATATATTTACTACATTTGTTTAATCTTTTTATATATAACAATCTGTAAGAGTTAAAAAATCTATTATAACAAATAGTTACTAACTAACTATTTATAATATGCCCATCCAAGCTATATGCTTAAAGAAGGTAGAAGATATAAATCTAAGGTATTGAGTGATTTACAAGACATGATAAAATATTATAATGGTGAAATATGTATATACCATATTTTGACTAAAACTAATTCAACCTGACAACCTACAACTGTATACAAGGTTCCTAATAATAAAAAACTGTTGAACTCATTTTTTCAAAAAATGAATCGCATGTTTATCGCTATTATAAACTATTATCTTCATAAAAATCGATGTTTAACATATTTTATAGAGATAGGTACCTTCAATAGTTTATCATTGAATTCAACTCCAAATTACAAATCCATTAAAACCTAATCATTGACAGGGTACACTCGAAACTTGCTAAAGAGTAGGTAACAGTTTACAGAGGTATACTTTTCCAGTTTTTTTTTAATAACTCAATTTTTATTAAATCATTCGTAAACCATTGTATATTATGAGTCTAAGTTACCCGGTTAATAAATTGTCGGGGTAATAAATATTTGTTATAATATTATAGGTAAAGTAGGTAAATTTAAGTCCCAAAATAATATGAAAATTAACTTACCTATGTAAACATCGACTATTCCGGTGAAACCTGGCTGGACCATACCTAGAGTGCTGTACAGTGTACGTGTACTGTGTACACCTATTGTATACAAAGCTGTAACAACTGTCTTCATCCTTCTTCATCTTGATAATATGAACTGCAAATATTTAGACATCTTATGAAATTAACCTGAACTTAACGAAGAATGCGAGTACTTATATATACATTATACATTCACTATCTATATATATATTACACCTATCAAAGTAGGTAAAAATTTATAAATTTGTATTATTTATCAATTATATGAAAGTCTGTTTGAATAATTTTTATAATCTATGAATTTTAATAGCTTGGGTGTAATATTTTTTTTTTTTGTTAAAATAAAATAAAACACGTACATGACATTAAATTAATCATTAGGTATAAGGTATAACATTCAATTTTTTTTTAGTTTTTTTGGAAATAAATAAATTCAGTATGGTTAGTACGTTTGTGTTTATAGAACCCAGATTCTGAAACATACTTTGCATCACTAACTTCACAACGATACATAATAATTATTCATTAGTTTATTCCTTATTAGTTATTTGAATAATACCGATAGAAAAACAGCAACAGCGTACAGCCTACAACAGGTAAACGGTCTATACAGCATATTTACAAAGTTACAACAACTGTTGAGTCTTGTTGAACAATTACTTAATAAATAATAGTTAATACCTAAAGGCTACTTTTTTTGTTATTCTATATTAAGAATAAAACAACATGACGCGGGCCGCGGGGGATATATGTCATGCTGGTTCGGTTATATCTAAAGTACATTACTTCCAATAATTATAAAATAATACTGCATAAGACGACGTGTTGACGTCATGGACAGTTAGAAATTTATTGTTCCTGTTATGATCCGTTCCAGTAGAGTAAGGAGAGGGATCGAGTGTCGTATCCCCCCCATGACTTTTTTAAAACTAGCAAATGATATTTAAGTACTTATTTAATATTTAAGTGTTCAACTATAAATATTATTATTTAGAGGTATAAGGTACTAATGTACTATAAAAAACCCGGTTCCTCTATGCGGCTATGCTAGCAGTGTACGCACAAGTGCATAACTAAGATAATATTACTTCGTAATAACCTTATTAGATCATATTATTTACTCTATAGATCATATACCTACTATAATATTATGATCTAAATTCTAAGGTAACAAGTAACAACACTAATTACTATTACACAAATGTAATGAAATACAGCATTGAGCATACTGCATAGTGCATAACAATGCAGGTTAGTTCCCAAGGAAATTTCGGAAATTTCGCCGTATCCCATGAAGTATTTCTATTTCATCGAGTTAAGAACAAAGATGTAATCAGAATTTATCGGTCGAACTTAGCTTCAAAGTTATAACCTTTTGAAGTTATTTTGAGTATTTTGCGTCTTCGCAGATTATTCCACGAATCTAAATAACTATTAAAAGTAGGTATGTAATATTATTATGATGCAGCTATTACATGCACTTTACAATTTTACATTATATGCAGATCACAATGGTTGGTACTGACTACTGAGAACTGAGAAGTGCTTAATATGATAAAAACCAACATTTTTTTGTTTGTTTTTTATTGGTGTGGCTGGTGGGGGGAATATGTTTCGATTCCCCCTCCCATAAACATGACCAAATTACGCCACTGATCCATTCGTGGGCAGACGGCCAGTGATCACTATCACCATTCGACATTCGTCACCGGATACTGACGGAGCGTTGGAGCAGCAGGCAACAGCAGCTAAGGACTCGCGTCACCAGAGCGTTCGTTCACCGTCGGTCGCGACTTCCTTCTGTCTCCCACAGTCCCACGACCACTGCCAAGTGTCAACTGGTGTGTGTAGCTCTCGAAAGTCGACGACGACAAACGACAAAATGGTTTCCGATGCCGCCAGAAAACATAGCGCCGCGACGCGACACTGAGTGTCGGCCGGCTATGCATTGTCAGTTTGGATTTGGCGGCGTCGGATCCATGGGGGACAACATTAGGAAGAAGGCCACCAGCGACACGTTGCCCAAACCTGGAAAGGTCAACTCGGGTACTATATTTATATTCTTATTATTACATTTTTATTTGTTGATGTTTACGTATAGATAGTAGTTTCATTCATACACTTGAAATGTAGGCCAAAGATCTCTATCTTGTTTGTACGATTCTTTAAATAACAAATATTATCCTAAATTCGTCGGAGAAAGAAAGTGTTTGGTTGTGTTTTGGGTCACTTTCACTGCAGTGTCGTGGAGTTCGATTAGCCCGGGGTGTTGTACCACATCTGCATTCTGCATGACTGCATAGCGCTTAGTAAGTCATTGTTAAGTGTGGGCAGGGACGTGATTTCATTTTGGTGCAACGGCACAAATATTCTTCCGTCGTTTTTCAATATCGCTGCATTCTACTTTTGGTTACGGTCAATTTCTGGTCACGTTTAGTGATTTAATTGTGTTGGTATTTTCCGAGGTATTTTTTCGCGTCATGAAGTAGCTAAGACACTGATCAATAAATTCAATTTGTTTAATACATTTTTTTTTTCAAATTAATACATTTTGAGTCTGATAGTTGATAACAATCTGAATCTTTTTATCTTGTCAAGCACTTGCATATTATATATTTATTGGCACAATGATTAATGTTGAGATTTGGGAGAGCTGGAGATTTTAATGTTGGTATGAAATTTTTTTCATATATTTCATGTGGTATGAACATTTTAAGTTTTCTGGTGGGCTTATCCCACCCTCCAGCCCCTCGTTGTATGCATGTATTTAAATCTTAAAGTACAGTGGAACCTTGATAACTTGAAGTCTTATACGTCTATTAGTCAAATTTTTGATAACTCGAAGGAATGTATTGGCCCGGTCATTATAATAAGTACATACAAGTTTTTCGATAACTAGAATTTTTTTTCCCTCTAACTGATTTGAATATTCTAGGTTTCATTGAAATTTTTTTTTTGTCATATCAAATCAATTCCGTCTTGGGTTATTTAATTTGGTTGTAGTTTTGTAAGCAAATTAGCAAGTACCGATACATCATAAATTATCTTTTTATATAATTAGGCAGTAGGTACCTGCATACCAAATAGTAAAGCACTATGAAAACAGTTCCCTTTTCTTTGTTGGTTCTAAATATAAGAATAAATAAAAAGGCGCCTACCTACATACAAAAACAATTATTATACTGTCACGTTAAGAATAAAATAAATAAAATAGTACAAATAACCAAATAATAAATTAACTATTAATAATAAAAATATATATAGGTATGTAATATCTATATTATTTAATTATTACATAACGCTTAAAATGAGCAATTTGATAGAATCAGTTAAAACATGCCTAAAAAGAGTCTCAAATCTTTATAACTGTACATTTTTAATAATATTGTACTTTCTTTTCTTTAACTGGGTTATTGACATTCAATAGAATATCCAATTCCTGCATTATTATTATTTCTGTCAATATATTTTTTAGAATATTATTTATGGGGGTTGAATTCAAAATTGATTAATTCAATGGTTCACTAAAATCGAATGGGACATTAAATTATGTTTATGGGACAATTCGCTCACTATTGATTCATTAAATTTTTAAAGATTGGTTATGCAACTAGGCATTAAGGGATAGGTATGACTATTAATTACTTAAGGTTGAACAGATGTTGTATTTAATTAATATGGGATTGTCCTGTATTTTTAAGCTTTTTGTCCAGTTATCTGATATCTCAATAACTCTGTTTGAGACACAAAAATTTTCAGTTTCTAAAAAATATCCCATGCCTTAAGATTTTTTTTCATATAAAAAGGTACTTATTTACTTGTTTTAAGTATAACAATTAAAATGTAGGAATTATATGTTAAAATTTATTCATCTCTCACCAAAAAAAAGATCCTTATATTCAATGATTTAAGAAACTTTTGTAGTAAGTAAATATGTAATATAATGTTAAGAGGTGTGACTGACAAGTGACAACATAAATGTCTCGATAAATGTTATACAGACGCAATGTACTTTATTTTCTTAGACCTGTATTCTGAATTTAATTTTTAAATCTGGCAACATTATTGTTACAGACATTACTTATAGCTGATCACCATATAATCGTGTGGTATTATATTAATATGCTTGGGTTATAACTATACAGGTAGTTTCATTACAGTTCTATTTAACTTGGATTACTTGTAATGTAAGCATTATTAAAATATAGTTTCTGTGTTCCTTTTAACTTATTAGTTCACATTTTTGACACATTTTGAAATGGAATAAGCAGTGGCGAATCGTTATAGGAGATAATGAGACAATACCTACCCTCTAAAAATATTTATTTTACAAATTTGAATGTAAAAATGTTCAATGCCCATATGCATAGTCAATTTATGTGACACAAATTGACAAGGCATACTAGGACACTAGTATTGCTCAGGCAACACCTTAAATATGGGTTGTTGGAAATTGGTAGAAGGAAAATAGGACATTATCAGTAGGTATAGCACAATATTTTGATACACGTCCTTGGTGAGGATTATTGTTGCGTTATGAGATGCAGTTTGCCATTTTTATTTTACAAAGTATTTATTCCCGGAGTAATATTATTTAAATACTATAAAATTGTTATTTATCATCATGCCTGACGATTTAATTGATGAGAATTTGAATGATGCAATAGTTAACTAGGTACTCATATGAAATCAAATATAAAAACTGTCTTGTTTTGTTTGTTATAACTAAAGACTGGATTTATATGTTTTTACATATCGTTACTGGGTCTATACAGTCTTATGAGAGTAAAAAATGTGGACGATTCGTTCAATTCTGAATGCGTAAAAAAAAGTTTTTTTTTTGCATATTTGAGAATATTTAACCCATTTAGCATATTTTGGAATATTTCGTAAAAAGAAAAAAGTTGCATTTATTTTTAATTTTAATATACGGTTCCCAGGAAAAATATTTTGAACATTTAAAATTTTTTTTTTATCATTTCCAACTCTTACTAAAATGCAATAGTACCCTATTAGAATACGCAACTTTAATACCTAATTATACCTCACTATTAAAATAATGTTGAAAAAATAAAATTTTAAAATTTATATTAAAGCATATAATGATGTTTATTGATTATTTTTACATATTTTTTAAATTTTTAAGAGAATAATATAATGAGAATATTTGAAGGTTTTTTAGAGAATATTAGCATCATATTTTAGGTATTTTAAGAGAATATTAATCCGGTCTTTAGTTATAACATTTATTTTTGAAAAGTTTGTAAAAATTGTTATAAATATATTTAATTTTGTTTCTAGTTTTTGAAGATATATTTTTACTTTTTTATTAATGATTTTTTTTAATGCAATACAGACTACACAAATCCTATATTATATAAATTTTTTGATACTAATACATATTGTTATAATATAACAATAAAAGGGTTATTATTAAAATATAAATTAAATATTTATTAAAATCTAAGGTACCTATCACATGTTTGCTGTTTGTGTAGGTAAACAAATAAAAAATATCAAATAGTTAAATCTCTACCAGTTGGTGATGACAGTTTAACAATAGACGTATTTGAATAACAAAACTACCATATTTGGTTGGTTGGTTTTGTTTCAGTTTCCATTTCAATCCAAATATCTTATGTGTTATCGTGTGACTAATCAATACCAAAAATGACATTACCTACAAAGATGGTGGTCAATAAATCGAAAAGTGAGCTATTTTGGAATTACTGCCACAAACTGAAATATGGCCATTCATTATTTTTCATGAGTGCGCATCCAGTAGAGAATTATCACGTTAAAATGTCTCAAATCAATATTTTAAATTCTTGTGTTTATGAAACATGCCACTACGCAACAATGCTACATATAAAAATGTGGCGGTATCATTTTTTTAACCATAAAAATAAATAAAATCTATTAAAGAGACTTGAATTTTAAGTCGTGGCAGTCTTGTACCAATAGGCAACAGTGGGATGTGTTAGTAAACTTTGTTTGAATAGGAATAGTTAGTTAATCAAAGATTAGGCTTCATATACTAGATTTTTAAATTAAAACCAATATTATTATAAATATGTTAAATTAAATGGTTTCTTGTTTAATGTTGTATAAATATGTGAACACTTAAAACTTGATTGGTTTTTAACTATAAATACCTAGACTAAATTATTAATTAATCAATATAATTATAAAATGAACATATGTATTAATTTTCTACAAATATTTTATTGAAAATTAATCAGATAAATTATCCAAAAATCAATGTTACAATTTTTTGATATTTAAAGTTAGTCTAATTCTTCTGTGGACTTTTTTTCTCTATTAACATCTAATGACTGTCCATATTGTTCCAAATATCGAACCATTGTCAACTGTGTTTGTCCTATAGTCTGCAAACACCTATTGTTTACTTGACCGATTACACCAATCAGTCTTGATCTGGCGTTCTCAATATTTACTAGGTTTCCGTATTCTACGGTTTGGTCTTTGCTTAATAATTTCCCATCAACTATGGATGCTAATAAAATTAAGTGAGGCATCTTCTTAATGATTTTTAACAATTTTGGTACTTGTGATGTACTACTAAATACTATTGAGCTGTGTGATTGAAATAAATTCAACACTGCAGCATAATTTGTTTCTGCCAAGGCTAGTTTTAAAGTGCTTTTTCCATACACAACGTGATCCATATCAGCCATTTTAAAAGTTTTCCTCGTTTTGAAATCAATTTCCCCCTTTACTGGATTTTTGTGAAATATTGCAACCATTGCGCTCTGCTCAAATAATTCTTTAAGTTCTTTAGCCAAAATGTTTTCATATGGGTTATTTTCTATTTGTTTAAACGCTTTACTGAATGGTTTAGGGCATCTTTCACTCCATGTCATATCTGATGGTTTTGGCCATGGATACCTAGGCTTTGTAATTGTTTCAATGACGGCTCGGTAATGATCTGGTTTTCTGGGTTTCTGTACATTGACTCTTCTATATCGAACGCTGATGACATTTGGTGTAAATCCTCGGCTACAAATAGCTTTAGTTGAACAGTTTAACATGATCTAATTATTATTGTAAATTTTAATGCTTGGATAAAAAAAATTGAAAATACTTATAATTAATTAACAACTGAAAATAATAAAAAGATAGAGTGTACTAGTGTAGAATTAGAATACAACAACTGTGAACTGATATTAAAATTTAATATCTACAAAATAATATTTTAATATAAGGCTTGGAACGATAACCTCAATTCGTTCTCATTTTTTACCAATCTTGTAACGCAGTGTAGCCATATACTATTATAATATCATGCTTTCAAATATTGTATTGGGCGTGTCTTGGTTGAGTTAATGGGTACAATAAATTTACAATCAACTTCAAATGAAAATAAAATCAGTTTAAAAATATATTTCAAAAATCTATTCACGATTTTTTTAGATCAACTTCTCATGTTGGTTTTGATACAAAAACTGTGTTTTTACGACCAACGTGACTTAGTAGGTACTACTATTAAAAACACGTAAGCGTGTTTTTACAGTCAATTTTTTTTTTATTGGTCCCTTAACTAAAAACAAAACATAAATTAAATATTTATTTAAAAGAAGAATATGCGATATTCTAAGAAAATGTTTGATTAGATTTTGTATTTATGTATGTTTATTTCTATCAACGATCATTAAATCATTTATTAAAATAGAACATCAGGAATTCGTTAATAATTAATAAAGGGAGTTAATGTTAATTAGTAATTACATATTATTATTTAGAGTCATAAAGACTGGTACAAGACGACACAAGTTGTACCTACGTAGCGCAGTGAATTGGCGTTTTTATGAATTGCGATTAAGTATACTTTTTATTTGCCTCTGGATATCTATAAAGTTTTTAAATTGTACTTGCAAGTGTTAGGGTACCTTTTTTAATTTTTTAATGTAACCATTATTCTAAATAAAATATGGGTAATTATATATTATGTAATAATATTGCAAATTATTTTTTTCTAATATTGATAACAATATGTATTTAATACTCAATAAATACGTACCTGTTTATTAAATTTATAATTTGATCGATTTCAAAAAATGTTAATTCTGCATTTATATATATATTACTAATATATTACTAAAATACATAATAATTTTCATAGATTTATTATTATTATACATTTATATTCTAAGAATGAGAAAAATATTACCTAACATTCTAATATGATGTAATAATAATAAATGTTCATTTTTATTAATTTAGGATTTTAGGTAATATTTTTCTCGCTGTTAAATCCTAAATGTATAACAATTATTATATTAGTTAGTTTAGTTATATCTATTTTCCTTAACGTAATAATAACGTCATAGAATCAATAGGTGCCTAAGTATATAAATGTATAATAATAATAAATCTATGAAAAATATTATGTATTTTGGCTTACACTCGAGAAGTACCTATTTTGTACTACCTACTACTGTCTACTGTTCACTCTTATTGACTTGTATCCAATATGGAAATCTATACTAGTATTATAAAGAGGAAAAAATTGTATGTTTGTAACGAGTAAACTCAAAAACTACTGGACCGATTTCAAAAATCCTTTCACTATTAAAATGCTACATTATACCTGAGTGTAAGGTAGGCTATATTATTATTACTAGAAAAAATGTAGTAAAACTTCAATAATGTCCTTTTTTTGTATGTATCAATCGGTCCCTTTTTTATATGTACTCGCAATTTTGAAAAGTACTCAATGGATTTTAACATGGTAAATGCACTAATAGATCAACTGAATCACGGGGAAGGGTTTAATGAATAATTTGTATTTGAAAAATTGTAGTAAAAAATAATAACAATAATATCTACATATATAGTATGTATATTGTATATTTGTATATAAAAATGATTGCTTTTCTGATGTCATTTATGCATTCCTAAACGGTTGGACCGATCAATTTCTATCAATTTTTGTGTGTGTGTTTGAGTGGTTCCATGGATGATTTAGAATCACAATTGGTCCCGGTAGGTCCAACCCGGGGAGGTGCCCAAATATGGATTTGTAGATTTACGATCGACATTTTTGTTTAAAAATGGTTGCTATTGGTTATAGGAAAATTAATAATTAGTAGGTACCTAGTAGAAATTTGTTTATCGATTGCCATTAGTTAATCGGGCAGATCAAGCTTGCCTACAATCGAATTTTTGCACAATGCCTACTTGATATGCTGTCGCACATTGTCTGCGATCCGACGACCGACACCCGAAATAGTCGGATTGCCTTCCGGGATGGCTGAGTTGCATTTACTGCAGCAAAGTTACACCCAAAAGGAGTTGAACGATCACAATTTATCTATGAGTTGACATTTTTTACGGGCAACGAAGTGTGCAGGATCAGCCATATTATAATCAATTAGAAGAATTATGGCTGTATACATTTTGTACAAATATATTTATTAAACATACAAATCATTGGCCTGGACAACGTCTGGCATGACAACTAGTATATTATTATAAATTCATGAAACAACATTTTTGATTTAGTTATGTGTAATATATTTTATATACAATTTCTAGTACGTACAATCTATTAATTTAATTTAAAAATAATTGGCTTATCAAAAGTATAAACTCCCAAATTCTTATTCAGCTTTTGCTTGATTTATTATTTATATATATATATGTATATTATAGGTATAGTGTATACGTAGACTAGACTTATACACATTTATAGGTTTCACTATTTAAAAATTATTTTAATACAATTTGATAAGTTATCAGAATTTATTTTTTTTTTAATTTACCACAACAATCATTGAAGCGAATAATTGGTTTCGTGAAAGTGCTTTAAAGCAAGTTAATTGTATTCAAAACTTGTTAGGAAAATAGAAAATTATACTGAAATCACAAAAACTATCTACTATCATACTAGGTACTATATTATATATTTTTGTATTTAGATAGTTAAAACTTTATTCGCTATATTACTATATTAAATACTTGCTTTCTGTAATCTTTTTAAAAAATTATAATTATAAAAGCTAAAATATGCATTTGAATAATACACAGTATTTTTATTTTTCCGTATCAACCCCCCTAAATAGGTATCAGGCTGCAGAGGAGCAACTATACATTTTTTAGAATTGTGGACAATTTGATAAACCTTAGTGGCGACTGGCGAGTGTTTAAACTTTAAATATATCATATTATAATTATATGATACCATTGTGTAATGGTGAAAATGTTCCAAATAGCAAAAAATGTATACATATAATTATACTGTTATTGATTCAACCCTGAATATCGGCTATCAAAAACTATTCATAAAATTATAATTTAGCCAAAGTTAACATTGTGATTAAGTCTACCAAAATTCTACTCTAGTTTCGATTTTCTCCTTGGACAAAATTAAAACCAAACCGAAACTAGAGGCAGGGCTGTTGACTGTTCGTCTGTCGACGGTCGAGCGCCACAACCGGTGCGTCGAGGTAGCCGCTGCTTCGGTCGGAGGGGTTGAATGTGTATACATTCGGTAGTAATAATTTATGTACATGCCCAGTGCACACGCATAATATGATAATATTATAAACGTAATAAAACGTTCGCTATGAAAATATACGTTTTCATCGTAAATGTAATCACACGCGTGATATTGGTTGGAGAAAAAAAAATTAATATTATATTTGGCCACCGTCGGGCATCTGCGCGACCGTAGTCGTAGGTGTAGTTGCACGGTTCGGTAAATATTTCATGATATACAATTGTATGCGGTTTACAGTTGTAGTCCAGACTCCAGGCCTCTGTGCAGTGTGTAGCTCAACGACTAATATACACCTCTGCAGTCTGCAGGCAACGTGCGTTCTCTTACAACATTAAATTCCCGCTCGCTTGTATAGATCTACATCGTTTCTTGCATACCAGGTTGATATTATTATGTACCAACGGCGATAGAGTAATAATAATATTACTATTATAATGTCTCAAAAACCGTTTTCGTAATTTTCATCAAAAGTACCTTATTTGAATAAAAATTAAATATCTGTCGGTTGTGCGCGACTTTTCGAACCCGTGGAATTTATTCCGCTTATTTTTTTCCACTTTTCGTTTCGAGCGTGAGGGAGACAGCAACGCCTCTGCCGCACCCCATTGCCGAAAACCACCTGCCAACCCCATAGCAACAGGTAGTTTTGTTAGTAAACATCGTACGTTCCTGTGCTTGAACAATAGCATTTGTTATTATTATTTTATATTATTTGTGATTGTGACTGGGGCTATTTTATGTAAAAGTGTATAACGAATGCTTGTTTTTTTTCCGTTGGAACGGATTTAAATGTTGTTATAGTCGTGTATTTTCTTTTTCAAATTATATTTCTCTATATTAGTAGAGGTAAATCATATTTTTACTAAAACAAATTTAAATAATTTAGAGAAACACTCAACTTTAACCGGTTGGTAAACCTGATACAACTCATACTTACGCACGCACACTACTATTCATCCAGGCGTGAAACCATTGTGACTTTCCATTACAATGAACCTCATAATATACAGGAGTACAGGACTGTTTTTTTCTCGTTATTATTTTCTCACAGTCTATTCACAATCAACAATAGAGGCTGTTGCTGACGCGCTCTTCTCTCTGCAGGTACCTACTCGTTTCATGGAATGTTTTTTAGACCTTTTTTTTTTCGTATGCAAGATCATCGTTTGTTTGGTGTAGTGGTGTGTCTGTAGTGTGGAGTAGGAGTGACTGAGGGAGTCCTTGTATCATTATTATTATTAATGAAATGCTTTTAACATTGGATCCTCATTTTAACTGCTTTATTATTTTCTAGTGTGTAAAGAATGGTTGGTCCACGAAGACGGCGCATTGGCGTATCATTTACAAAAGTTGGAAGGTCAGTCATGTTATTTGTTGATTGTTGTGTTATTATTATTGTTGAGTGCTATTCCATTTTATTATCTTAATTTAACGCATTTATAATTGTTTTACAGTCGACGAACATTACAGTGGCAATCGTTCGCGAAATGCTATCGTTCGGCAAGACTTGCCTACAGCCAAGGAGGAACAGGAACGTGAAATACGCGAAGCTGAAGAACGATATGGCGTGTTCATCAAAGAACAGTGAGTACACAAGTTTGGAATGTGGATAATAAATTTTAAATGTAATTTCTAAAAACCAATATTTTGATTTTTAATAATCATTTTAGTCTTTATCTGTGTAATTTTAATGATATTATTAATAAAAATAAGTTGTATTTTGGAAAATTCATTGTTATTTAAAATAAATTTAAAAAAGTGGTCAAGTGGTAACGCTCTGCTGACTGTTGTGTAAAAGGTGTCGAGAGAGTCACTGTAATGTGAATTTATAACTACAAGTTATTTGACAGTGAACAATTTTTTTTGACATTAATATTAAAAATAAACTAATAAAATTGAAAATTTCATATGCTTTATAAGATAGCTCATCATAAATCAGTGGCGTAGCCAGGAATTTTTTATGGGGGGGGCTAAGTATACAAATACAATGTGTTTTTTATTTACGCTTTTAATTTTTTTATTAATCTTGATAAAATTCTAAGGTCAACATCGGTCAATGGGGGGGGGGCTATAGCCCCCTTAGTCACCCCCCTGGCTACGCCACTGTCATAAATCAACATTTTAAAGTGTAGGTATAGAAAATGCTTAATGAAAATTGTGTACACCGTAATTTTTCTTAGAGTTACACCAAAAACCAAAATCAATTTTGATGGAAATTTTAATTTTGACTCTTGAATGCACCAACTAGATACACTTTCCCAATCGGAAAAGACGCTTCAGTTGAAAATCGAAGCATTATTTTAACTACTTATCGTGTAAGCAGACACAAAATATAAAAAAATAAAATAAACAATCATTGTAAAATCAATATGTACATTCAACAGAATCTAAAAGTACCTATAAAAATTAGTTATACCAGAATATTGATATTACAGTAAAACCTAATAACAAACCCCTGTAGTACAGAAATTTCCCTACATTGGAAATAACAATAGTCCCATGTATTTTAATCTACCTACAATGGAAAAATCAGTTTTTACTGTAACATCATTATGGTCATAAAGTTGTATTGTTAGCATAATGACTGTTATTTCTTAAATAATATTATAATCTATTAGCTTATGACTAAATCAGTTTATTTAATTTATTTTTTTTTAGGGAAGAAAAAGATCTCAAAGTTGCTATGGAATTAGCTGAAAAATTAACAAAAAATAAAAAATATACACATGACATTGGGGTTACTGCAAATTCAGGTGGAAGTAGACCAGGAATATTAAAAAAACACTGTCAACCAGAATCTACTAAAAGGTATTTCTTTTATCAAATGTATAATTGTTATAATCTGATTGAGATTCAAATTGTAATAAATAAATATTGATCAATTTATAAAGTTTTACAGTAGAGTCCAATGAATATACTGAGTTTGATATTGATGATATTTTGCATGACATTGACTATAAAGAAGAGGTCAACCGCCGAATTCAAGAACAAAAGGATGCTGTGAGTACTTCCTTTTTGTTCTTTATATTGTATTAATTAATTATTAGATCCAGTCATAGCATTTAACGGGTGTAGTCTTTAGTGCACGTTAATATTTATAGTCGTGACTAGAGTTACACTCGTCAAATTCTAAAGATGTAAGCAACAGTATGTCAAAATAGTTATAATCTTACATTAAATTTGTATACATTATTTAGTGAATTAATAATTATTAATAAATAAATATAAGGAATTGGCCAAGCGACTACAAGAACAAGAAGGACGTCCCATGTCAATTGAAGATAGGGATAGATTAATTGCTATTGAAACACAAGACTGTGAATTGGCTAAGCTTTTACAAGAAAAAGTAAGATTTACTAACTTTTAAATAAGGGAAGTTCAGGTACAATTTTTTTTTTTAGGAAAAAGCGCGATTGAGGAGAGCTCGCGAAAAAGCAAAACAAAAAGCATTACTTAAAAAACAACAGCAGTTGGAAGAATCGTCTGAAGTTGTATCAACTACCCAAGAACCTCTTTCTAATATTGCTATTGCTATTGATCCGACATATAGTTCAAGAAGAACTGAACTACAAGACAATTTTTGTAAGTGTGTTGGTTAGTTTCTATTTATTTAGCAAAATAATTATGAATTGAACTTAAAGGTAGTACTTCTACTGCTCTATCTTCATCATTAGACGATGTTCCTCCGTACATGCCAATTCAAGGACAACGACGTAACAATCATACAGATAAGAAAAAAAAATCAAAGACTGATGGTGTTGCATCATTTTTTAAAGTATTTAAGTAACGTTTAGTGGTGGAAAAATAAAATGTGATATTTCTATATTTTAGATTCTGAGCATAACAAAGATTGTATTATAATCATTGTATTATAATAATTTATAGTAAATTTTTTATTTTGTGAATTATACTTATTAATCAAAACCTGGTATTCCACCAATTTATAAAACTGTGTTCATTGTCCATTTGAACATATTTTAATAATTCGTGTAAACTGAAATAATGCGTATTTTTAATATTTCACTTGTTGTCAATTATATTTTTTATCTTATATAGTTCATATTATGCAAAAATGTATATATATTTTTTATTAATACCGTTCTTACTGTAATTGTGAAACTAATTGTATTAATCTATTGATATTAATGGTCATATAAAAAAAAAATTGTATGTACAGTGTTTTATTATTTTTATTGTTAAATTAATGAAATAAATTTTTTTTGTATTATTATATTTCAATGGTATTGTATGACCCGAACAATATAAATAATAACTCCTATCTTTACTAGACTACCGTCCGTTTTATGTCGACTTTTTATTTATCTGATTTATCTTTAAATGAATTGATACTCATTATATTTGTGAATATGAAGTTGAGTACCTGTACTTATTTATTTTGGTTTTCACTGAAATCTACAGGTCAGCAACTTAAAACAATTAAAAGGCCTACTTATGCAGTTTCATCCATAAATATGATTTCGGTTTTAAGTATATTAGAATTTAAAGTCAATTCACACATGTGCGGTCCGTATCCGTACCGTCCGTTCAGTGTCCGACATTTTGACATTGTATGACTAATATTTAATGTTATCGTTTACACTAGTCCGTTCCGTATCCGTGTCGTCCGATTCCAATAGTTCAAAACTATGTTTTGACGGATGGCACTGATACGGAAACGTATTTTCATTTTTCGGTACATTCAAGTACAGGTCAATACTGGTTCGATCAGGTCGATCCAAAATGATTTATACCAACGTAAAACCACGAGAATTTTTAAACTAAAAAACTACAATTTGCACCAATGTGTTAAGTATACTATTATACTATATTAGTTATAGTACGGTAAATGAAGAAAAAATTACGTATTTTTGTTTATTTATATAATATTTAACATAATATTATTATAAAAGTAATGTAAATGGTTAGTTTTTATAAAAATTATTTACATAATATAGCTATGTAGGTACTGACTCAAATAAGTACTACAAATTACTTTTTTTTTCTTAACATTCTTAAACTTAGATATAATATAGTGTACTTAGTTTTATGAGGATTTATTTTTATTAGTAACAACTATAATATAATAATATGATTTAAATAATCTAAAACCTAAAATGTATTAAATATTTTATTCCTTTTTATTAAAACAATTTATTTTGATACTTTGTCATTTTGCCACGGTATAGAACCAGATGGTGAATTAAAAAGTCTTATATAATTCCCTGATTTCAAAAGCTGCCTGTTGAGGACTGCCGTCTGCCACCTTGCATAGGTATATTTTGTAGTTCACTGCTTATAGTAGGACTGTAGAAGGATCATTGTGTTGTAAGAAACTTGTAGCACGAGAGTCACTTCTAATAAAATTATGTAGAACGCATGTTGCTAAAATAATAAAATCTGCATTTTCTGGTTTAGATTGGAGTCTTTGGTTGTAAAGACGAAATTTTTGTGACAAAATTCCAAAAGTGTTTTCCACAACTCTGCGAGGTCTACATAAACCATAATTGTAAATTTTTTTATCAAAGTCTTCTAATTGTTTTCCAAGGTACGGTCTTAATAAACAGGTTTTTAGAGGGAACGCTCCATCTCCAACTATAAAAAACGGAACTTTGGTGTTAGTTCCTGGAAGCGTTTTAGATTCTGGAATGTTAAGTGAGTTGTTTTCTAAGGCTTTTCTTAAATTTGGGTGAGATAATATGTCTCCATCACTATTTTTGCCATGTGAGCCTACATCAACCGTTATGAAATTATTATATGCGTCAACCAAAGCAAGTAAAACAATTGAAAAGGTTTTTTTATAATTAAAGTAATTGGAGCCACTTGAATAGTGACATGCTTCCCATCAATCGCACGTAAGCAATTTGGGAAATTCCATAACATCCAAAAATCTTGAGCTTTTTGTTCCCGCCGATCTTCAGTTGGAGTTGACATGACTTCAGGCATTAATCGATGTACTATAGCTCTGCATGTCTCAATAACTATCTGATAAACAGTAGAATGACCTAATCGATAACTAAAAGAAATAGTTTTGAATGAATCTCCAGTTGCCAAAAATCTGAAATTAAATATAAATTCATGTAATGCATACTCTATATTTAACTAATAATGGTGTCTAATACTACACCAATAATGTGCACACTTGTTTTATTTATCAATTGTTGTTAATTTTTTCTTGTATTCCAAGGAGAGCGATGAATGTATTAGTTTTACAATAATGTGTGCTTTTTTTTAATCAAATTAATTTATTATTTTTTTTAATTTCTTATAAATATATATACAAAATTCAAAATAGTAAATACCTACAAACATACATTTTTTTAAAAATGCTTAAAAGCCATCTCCGCTCAGAATCGTTTTTTTGATAATATGAACTATATAACGAAATCGATTATGTTGATAACTAATTTTGTGTAAAAATTCTTGTTATTTTTAATAAATCATTTTGAAAAACTATTGGGAATTTTCAATTTTGAGCTCTCGAAAGTACTAACTAGATTCACATATTAATATTTAATAAATATTTAAGTAAAATTTAAACTTAAACTAAAATCATGTCAAATTAAAGTAATTATCATATTTTGGTTGGGTAATAATATTAAATTAATTAATATGTTATGGTTGGGTAAATTCATAAGCATATTCGTCAATTTCTGAATTTTCATTTTTATATTGCATTATGTTGTTTTTATATACCTAGGTCAAGTTTGTAAGACCCGATAGAATAACATAAGAGACAATTGTCGAAAGTCAATGAAGAAAAATATGACAACAAGTGGTCAGGCAGCACATAAAATTAAAAAATATAAATATCAAGACCAACTTAAGTTTTTAAGGCTAAAAAACGGAAATCAAATACTCCAGAAACAGCTTCATCTACTTTGATGAAATATTTAATTGAAAAAAATGAAAACAAAAAAGATACATTACCTGCTGTTTTACAACCACATCCTATTGATGATTTTTTAGCTAGTATTCCTCCGTCTCTGAAATCTTTTTCACCTTATCAATTAAATTTAGCAAAGAGTAAAATTTTTTTCTACTGTCCAAGAGTTTGAAATGAACACGAGTTTAGAACAACAAAAACAAATAACAATCATCTTATACTTTGATCAATTCACATTCACCACCACAACACATGGCAGCTACCATGCAGTATTCCCAATCACAACCACATTTAGAGTATAATGACTTATCTGAAGATACGCATACACAAAATCGTCCATATATTTCTACACCTATTCGTAATATACCTTCAAGACAACAAACATACTAAAACATAGACACACATTCTGTTCAAATGCCACTTTCTCATTCCCCAGTATCTTCAAACCAGGATATGCGTACAGGACCAATTCATTTTGTCGGACAAACAAATGGCTCAAGAGTTGCTACTTACTATGAATCATTTAGTCCAGATAAAAATAAGTAATCAATTGAAACTTACAGCTTATAAGCATGAACAAAGTATGTTTATGATTAATTATCTGTTTACTAATAACTTACTACTCATGTACATATAAATAATATTTACCAAGTATGGTGCAAAAAATAAAAATTTTGATTTTCTTTGTTATTTTAAATTTTAAAATGTAATGTATAATATTTAGTTGAAATTCAAAAATGTGAAATACCTACCTTTATGTAAAATGTATATTGTACTATTTTATGAAATACTATAGTATATATTATACAGGTTGTAACAAGAAGACCTAACATGAAAAAAAAAAAAAAAAATGCTACTTATACGTATTATAACAATTGTAAAAATTATGCTGTTAACAAATAATTTAAGAAATATACTCATGTCATAATATTTTGAAAAAATTGATTACGTACGTTCTAAATTAATTTACTCAAGTAAATATTAATACTTAAAAAAATTCTGAAAAATAAACTAGTTGAGGTAGATAAATATTTTTACCATTAAAATTATTCTCATAATCATATTTACGAATTGGCTAGTTTAAATTTTTCCAAAATAATATATTAAATCAAATTTAAAATTTAAAATATTAATTTATATTATACGCGTACAAAAGTTACTTAATTTTTCGGGTTGTCCTGTTACACCCTGTATAATATATATCTATACACAGTATAGTGTATACCTAAACCTAGGTATATAAATTATACGTACAAATATAAATGACCATAAACGCTTACTGCTAGGATTGAATATCAACCAATGTGGTATCTATATCTATAAATTTATACCTACACATACGTAGGTATAATATAATAATGATTGTTCGGGCACCTACCTTAGAGTTACTGCAAGTCTTTCCATGGGAGTTATCGCCAGCCTCCAATGAATCTTGTCATTTTATATCATCTTGAATTTTTAATAATAAAATATCAAAACTATATTTGGACATCCGAAAATATTCATAGAACTCGGTATCATGATCTATTAACTCATTAGTCATTATAAAGTGGTTCAAATTCTCCTTCAATGTTTCTTTTCTTCCACAAATCATGTACCCATGTTCGTTTTCTTTTTACATGCTTTTCTTTAACTCGCAATGTTTCATTCATTCATTTCTGTTGTCATCAAATCTTGCGAGTTCAATTTAAGTCACTTCAACATGACCTAGGAGGCTCAAATTTTGTATGGAGGTTAGGTTAGGTTAATACTACTTAATACATGAACGAAAAAGTTGAAAATTAACTTACTTTTAAAACAATTTTTTAATGAAACTTCAAGGTTATCAAGATATTACTAAAAGTGTTTCTAAAATGTATTTGTTGCAAAATTTTTAAAACTTGTGAATTACAAAAAAAAGAAATGCATGGGGCACTAATGATAACTCCTATGTAAAGTCACTCTACAACTGAATCATTAGATAAACTTTATGATAAATATTTTAAAGATTATTAATCATACTTCCAATTTTGTAAGAGATATTCTTGACTCATAGGAGCCCCATGCATTTCTTTTTTTTTGTAACTCACAAGTTTTAAACATTTTGCAACAAATACATTTTAGAAACACTTTTAGTAATATCTTGATAACCTTGAAGTTTCATTAAGAAATTGTTTTAAAAGTAAGTTTATTTTCAACTTTTTCGTTCATGTATTAAGTAGTATTAAGGAAAGCATGTTTTTAAAAAAATTTTTTACTTCTTGTTTTTTTGCTGCTTCATCTTCATCCAGTAGTATCGCAATCATTGCTAAATCCTCTACTTCTAAATTGTCCATCTTAAAAAATAGGTTATGAAAACGCTCTTACACATGTTCTGTTCGTCACTGAACGAACATGAAATTCGTACATCAAACCTAGTGCACAAAATGGAATACCGAACAGACTGAAACACGGACTGTGTGAATTACCTGCCATCTGACAGTAGTATCACTGAATGGACGGTACGGTAACAGACCGGACATGTGTGAATTGACCTTTACAAAGCATTTTAATTTTACATTTTTGAGGTATTAAGTGTGGTTTCTCCCCTTTCAGAACCAATTTCACTGGTTTGGAGGCTGATAATTTAGAGTTTTAACTACTTGGATTTATATTTTAACTGATAAGATTACATCTATGGCCCAGAGTTCAGTTGAAAAAGTGGTTTTTCAAAAACCAAGGACCATATCATTGTTCAAAAACTGAAAAATACTTAAGCACTAATTTTCAACATCAAGTTTTTTTGGATCACCTATGTCTTGAGATAATTATAGGTTTTTTCCTGATTACGACAAAGGAGCACTGTTGGCTGTACATATAATAATGTGGTTTTTAAACCCAAATTCAAGAGCGTTTTTAAATTGAACCACTCGGTAGTTGTTCAATTTTATCAATGCAAATGCTATAAAATAAACATTTTTATAAAATCAATATTCTTTTAGTTACATTCTAATCACACATAACTATTCTCCTGCAGTCCTTCCTATGCCTTAGCAGCTTGAGTAACAGGAATAAAAAAACTACTATTGAGCTTTACCCATAATTAATGCTTTTTTATTTGTCTAAATAATCTATATTACTATAACTTATGTAGAAAAAGAAGTTAAAAAATAATACTTTTAAAACTTCAATACATGAATCAAAATACATTTATGTATTTAATAACTAACAAATAATTTTGAATCAACTATCTGTAACCCATAAAAATGATACTGTAAGAAAACAAAAGTTATATATTTAATATTTAATATTATGAAATTGTGTTTATTGAATAATAATATGTATGAATTATTAAAGTAATTTTAAAATTAATAAATTCAAAATTAAAACATAATTTAAGAACTTAGAATTTTTTGTTCAGAATAATAGTATTTCGTTTTTGAATACTGGCAAATGGGTTGACTCGTGGACATCCACTTTCACGTTGAACAACTTCTACCACACTATAATTGGGAAGCCACGACTGTAAAAAATTTAGTGTAATTCATTATTTAAAGTGAAAAAGATAAATTTTGTTAGTTTCTTAAATAAACAGCAACTATAATGGATGATTCTTTTATCAAACAACACTCAATATTTCAAAAAGTGTATATTTATTGAAAATATTTTTTTAGATACTTTCAAGTCACTAATAAAACAACGTTTTTATAAATTTTAAATATTTTTTATCCTTATAATTTTTTATGTTTTTCACTTTTTTGAATGACAACATAGGGTTTAAATTTTATATTCCAAAGCAGAATATTTTTCTTGGTATTTTGATACATGAAAATTGAACTGAAAAATTATAAGGATAAAAAATGTTTAAAAATATAATTTTTTTATGAAAACGTTGTTTTATAAGCCACTTGAAACTATGTAAAAAATATTTTCATAAAAATTTACACTTTTTGAAATAATGAGTGTTGTTTGATTAAAGAATCACCCAGTATGTGAATGGCGTTATCCAGAAAGCAACCAACCATAAATAAATAATGAGCTTTGTATACTAATAGATTTGACATTTTATACTACTCATTTTACAAATTGCAACAAACACACAAGTCGATAGTAGCACTATCTATCAATGTTCAAAGATCGAACTGAATGAGTTATCTAATAAAATAATATTATACAATACATCTATGCCACATGGTTTTCTAATGGTGATTATACTATGAAAAACGTACTATCACAGTATTAGGATTTTATTGGCAAGTCATTTTGATATATTATATATCCAATTAATAAGATATATTGGTTTTAGGTCATAATATGAGGTAATAATTAACAAAAACAAATTTAAAAAATGATTTTTCTTTAACATGAATTATCTCTAAATAGAACATTTGTGGGTTGGTTGCTTTCTGCATATAAAATTGGAAATAAATAAATATTCAAGAAAAATGAAAATTACTTTTTCTTTAAGAGCTGTAGCCACAACATTTCTATTTGGTTCAGCATCATAAGCTACTGATTCGCATCCAAAATGTTCACTGTACTCGTGAATCAATTTCCTCTTTTCAAACTTCATTACTTCAAATGAATGACTTCGAGAATTTTGTTTAGACTAATAACATTGCAATTTACTAATGAGCTCAAATTGTATACAATTTAATTATTACACTTACTTGTTTAGCATTAGTGACCAATTCAGCAAGTTTTTCATGAACATAATTACAGAATGATGCATCTTTTTTTGCAAATTCTTTCATAAAATCTGAATATCGTGGAGTGACATTAGGAGATAAATCTGGATTACGGATTTGAAGTGCAAGGGCAATACGGCGATTTCGTTCTAATTTAGCACATTCTGTTGTACATTCCAGACTAAAAATTATAAATGTGATTTATTCATTCTAGAATTATAAACAGTTTACAAGTAAATTACATTTTATATGATTTTATGATTGGCGATGAGTCAACAATATTGTCTAGGAAGCTCATTGACTGTGCTTTAACTTGAAGACGATATTCAATCACTTTAGGGTCAGAACACATCCTAGCTTCTGTCAAATTCCCACAAATACAGCTAACACTCACCTTGAAAGAATCATTATAAATTATGTTTATATTATTATAACATCAAAAAGAGTTTTACCATTATTTTGCATGCTATTGGCGGACATGAACCATTATGACAAGGTTTTGAGCATGGATGGCTGCAATCCGATTTTGGTAAATTACATGGTAACCGACATGGACCAGTATTACATGGGGGTGCGTGACATGGTTTGGTACAAGTGTGTCTTTTGCAAGCAAGTGGAATGCCACAAGGCATTCCGCATGATACATTCTTTATATGACATGGTATAGCAAAACGTAGCTAAACAGTTGAAAAAATTAAAAATATATAGTGGTACATTATACACTAATGTATTGTAATAAATGTATACTTCATGGCCACCAAAACACAATTTTTCAGTCAGAGCTATACAAGGAGGACATTCATCCTCATTGTGACAAATATGAGTAGCTGGATGACCACATTCGTGTTCTCGTGAACAAGGTAATGTACATAATGGTGGACGAGTACCACACCTGACAGGAGGAGAAATGAAACTATTGCCACATCGACAATACAACTCTTCAAAACCTATTAAAATAAATCAATAACAATTAAAAAGATCATATAATAAAGTACAGTAGATACAGATGTATGTATAGAAAAACAAAGGCAATATTATAAATTAATGAAATCCAACTTATAAATCTACGGTGGTATTTTAAATTTATAATTTAGATTTAATTTTTGTAGTATACTAAAAATGTTCACTTAATATTATAATTTATAATACAAAACTGTTGTATAATATTTAGTGTAAAGAGAGCAACTATACAATTGATTTTACAAAAAGGGAAATAATCCTGAAAACTAGTTGTGACATTGTATTTAATAAAGACATTCCATAAATATTTAGGAACCTAGAAAAAAATTGTTTGAAACGAAAAGTGCTGAAATAGAATTACCTACCACAGCAACATGGAAAAAAAATAATTTTAATAGTCTGAGTAGGTGTACAAAATATATAATAATATGAAATTACTAATTAGGCATAGTTTTATTATAAGACTTAAAAAGTGCAGGTTAATGTAAACAAAAAGCCAAAAACAACATTTTCATATCATAAAATACAAAGACTACTCTTTATATTAGATTCTGAGCTCAGCGAGTAAAGCAGTAAGTGTTTTTTTTTTTGTGTGTCATCACCTTTTGGGACAATAAAAATGCTTTGAATAGTTTTTTCAACATGTTTTCTGGTAAAAAAGTGAATCTAGTTGGTACTTTGGAGGGTCAAAGATAAAAAATTCCCAATAGCTTTCAAATTTGTCATGAAAAACTAAGATTTTTTACAAAGACCATTTTTAGAAAAACCAATAAGTGTACTCAAAAAAATAACTGTTGATACATGAAATTTTCACTGAATATATATATTAACAATTTCTATACACCATAACATTTTCGAAATATTGCCACTTATTTTGATAGGCATAAGAAAATGTCGAGTTTTGTTAGTTTTTTTTATAAAACTATTATCAATACAAAATGTTTACTAAATCAAAAACATTGAAAATGTAATACAACGTTCCCATAAGTTGTTCTTAGTAGAAATTAAAAAAAAAAATTGTACTTTTATCCTGTAAATTTTTATGAATGTCTGACATTATTACATAAAAATAATGAAACAATTCATCAAAATCACAACAATTTTCTTATTATTTTAAGTTAGAAATTCGTAAATTGTTTTCTAATTATATTTAAACTTTAAAAATGTAATACAATCCTCTTAAGTTTTCCTACATTTGACAACAAAAAAAAGTTTACTGGAAATCCAAATTAATTTTTTTACGAGTGTTTGTAAAAAGACATTGGATATTAACCCATTCAAACTTTAACCAACAAATCTAAAAATATACAAGCACAATTATTTTTATATACATTTCAAGTTCAAATTTGGACGAAATTACATTTTAATACCAAGAATAATGGTTTCAGTTATTTAGTCGTAATTTTAATTATTTGTGGGTACATGAAACTTTTAGTGAACATTATATATTATACACACAATGACATTTCAAATGTAATTTTTTTGGCAAAAATGAAATTAATCTACAGTTATACTAACGCATAATAGTAAAATAATTTACTTTCATCACAATAATATCATCAAATATAGTTAGTAATAACTAATAATGTAGGCTGACAGACGATCTTCACTTAGAATCGGTTTTTGTATACAATGATTTTATATAATTGAATTCAATTTTAACACATCCATTAACTGTGACTCTCTAGACACCTAATATACTACACAGCATTACCCGCCTACCTGCTTTTTCATATTGTATTTAATCACATTAATAACAAATATAAATGTATACCTCAACATATGTAATTAAATGAAAAACTGTAATTTGTATGAATAACTTAACCCATTAGCGCCGTGCGTTGCCATATGGCAACATAGGTAGACCTATTTTTAGAAGCTAATTTCTCATTGGGAATTTGACCAATAAAAAAATTTAAAAAAAAAAATTCGGAGCTAATGGGTTAAAGAAATAGATATGTTGTAAGCAATATAAACCGTTCGTTATACCTAAATAAGTTAGTTTATAAAAATATCATAAAAAATAATTGGATCCTAATCATTTTAGGCATTGTCAGTTGTTTCATATTTACATGAGTTACATACACATAAAAATGTTTATAAATTATATATTTACACCTACTTGCTTCATAGCACATTGAACAGCTTCCAGAATGGCAAACACGATCACAACGATGTTGACGGCAATTTAATAGTCCATTACAAGTTCTGGTACATACATGCTCTTGTGCATTACAACATACTACCATACATCTATGCTTTCCACAAGACATCATCTAAGAACCAAAAAATATAATTTTAATAAATAATAATTATTTATCATAGGTCCATACATAAAAATTTTTTTTTTACTTTTATTTGTTTACTTCAAAATATTTATTTACAAATATTATTATAATTTTGAATTACAAGTAAAATGTATTCGAAAAAAATTTTATGTTATAATACAACATTATAACCATATAAACATAAAAACATTTTAAGCGAACTAAAAAATGTGCATGCCTATGTTATTTATATCTGAAACAGTTCAGTTAATATAGTTAATAAATTCAGAAGTATTCATATATGTAAATATATACATATTTTTTTATTGAGCTTAAGCCCGGTAACTATGGTCATTGGCTGTTTTTTGTTGTTTTGTGGAGAAGAATGGTTGGAACGGTTGGTTGAAACACGAGTGTTTTTAGGTTTGGCAGAATTTCAAATTGGGCACCCCTAGGTTTCTGCCATGCCCGGGTCAGGGGGATGGTGGCCTCACTCTCTAGACAGTTGCCTGCCCAGAGAGAGGATCCGCCCGTGGTCGAAATTCAAACCAACGACGGTAAGCTTCGGAATCGACGCAGTAGTCAGCTTGGCCACTCCATCCCCCATATGTATATATTATATAGGTAAGTAGGAAACATAATGTAAAGAGGTATATAAAGTTCAGTCCATAATTTTTAAATGTATTTATTTTTACACGGGATATCTCTTAATAGTAAGCATTATGTTATTATCTGTTGACTGTAAAATTTATGTTTTTATACATTGTTAACTATGCATTATGTATATTAAGGCCATATTAAAGTTGTTTCTACCTCTTATGGATAAAAAAATTTATTAAAAAAAAAAAATCACATACACAAATTGTACAACTTAATAACTTTTTTTTTTTTAGGCCCCTGCAAACCCTATTAATTTTTCATCAAAACGACCTTAGCGACCAACAAAAATTAAAGTTCTTCTAGTGGTTCGATTTAAAAAATGTAAAGATGTTGTAGCACACCCTCAACTCCTTAAAAATTACACATTTGCAGGGGCCTTAACTGTAGAAGAAATTCAAGGAGTTTAAAATTGAATAAGAACATTTATTAAATAAAGACAAAAACTGACAGGGGTGAATAATAATGAGTGTTTGTTGTTAAAAGAAAGAATGCCTCTCACCTTGTTGCATTTCTTTTTGCAAGTCAATTCACTGGTTACAGAATTGCATTTTATTTCCTTGGATCTACTACCGCATTTACATACATATTTGGTTTTAAGTTCACAGCGAACACATGGGCCTTCATGACAGTTTTGTCCACACAGATGCGGACTTTCTATACAAATGAATACAATAAATTAGTTAATAAAATGGTAAGGCATGTTCATATAGAACACATACCTGGTGGACCACATTCTAGAGGTTTTCCACATGGTTGGTCACATGTGGGTACTGGTTGTATGCATAATGTACGGTTACTAAGTTCATCTTCTGTTAATGGCCGTTTTCCACAGGGACACCTATTAACAGATAAAGCTATACACGGGTCACATTGACCAACATGACACAGTTTCTGGCATAAGTGATTTTTGCAAGATAATTGTTTTTCGCACAGACTTCCACAGCTGTAATATACCACCATGGCATTCTCTGGAGTGCATGGTACTTGCCGTTTTGATTTTCCACAGTAACACACTGAAAAATAAACCAATTGACTGTAGTTTTAGGTATTGCGAGAAATTGTTTATAAGATGTACTTGTTTGTCAATATAATTTCCAAATCATTATTTCTTTTAAGTCCCATATGTGCTAACCTATCAATTTAAATTTTAAACAGACTGGTGATATAAATTATAAAATGTTTGAAGTACATGTCTTCTACAATTAAATAGTCAAGCTTTTTGCCCAAAGTAAGAAAGGGTATCACTGTATCAGCATAAACAGAAAAATATAACCGAGAATCTCGAATAAAGCATGTGCAGCAGAAAAGGGTTCGGGCCTTTTTGTTTTTTTTTTAGTTGTGGAATAATTTATTGATCTAGCCCTCCAGGATAAGATAAACATCTATTCTGTGAAATGATGAAACTAAATAGTAAATACACAGTTTTTATTATGCATATTTAGACTAATTTTAATAATAATTATTTTTTATTATGGACTTTTACTAGGAACTACAGTACATAATATACTAGACTAGTATAGTAAATTTCTATTTTCTAATTTGATGGGCACCTCAACATTGCATGTATTATATTATTAATATTAATTAATAATTATTATTATAATAGCATATATATTTTATATGATGTATAATTGTTATCTTTTGAATAAATGCTGAATTTAGACTTACCATAGACCTATTAATAGGTGGCCAGAGGAGAAGTAATGCTAACGCGGTTCCTCCACCGTCCCTCGATTAACTCGGAAAAAAAAAGACCTATTAATAGGTCTATGATAGAAACAGTGTCAATAACTTTATACATTTCTGGCTACAAAATAATTTACTAATTGTTGTGGTATTGTCTAACTTTGAATTTTTAGTTTTTTTTTTAGCCGTAACTAATAATATAAACTTATGTGAGATCTTGTTAACATTTTAGCAAACGTAAATGTTAAACAAGCATAACATGTTTGCAATAATTAGAAAAGAAACTAAAAATAATTGAACATTGTCCATGCTTATAAAAACTCGGTCAAAGTATTATGATCATGCCAATAACATAATAAAATAAATATCAGGTAACAATTTAAAGTATCTACTATTTTTTTGTTAATTAAAAAAAAAAGAAGAAAATTGTTAATTTACCAATGTCATAAGAATTTTAACTTCAAAAGCTCATATCAGGTGCTTCTTCTGATTTAATTATCACTTGAAACTAAGAATAGTAAAAACACACATATTTTTATGTCAATATTACCAATTTTTTATTTGAATAAAATAATATTTTTTTCCATTATTCAAATGATAATTCAGAAAACTATTACTTACTTAGTAAGCATATATTATAACAGTTTGTAAATCAACAAAATTTAATTATTATTATTATAACTAAATATTATTAAAGTTACTGTTTAATTTTTAGATGTTTAAATTTTTAATTATTATTTTAACATGTTTATCAAACTAAATACATTATAATAAATAATTCATTCATAATAAAAATAAGTATAATGAACATAAATTGGCACTTTGAATACAATGCATGTTTTGTTTACATATTATTTAAAGGTTAAATTGTATTTTAAAATTATAAAGAGGAATTTACATTTGTTTTCTTAAAAAGAGGAACTAGAACTGGAACTGGAACTGGAACTGTTACTGGAGGTACTGGTAGACAAATTTGAATCATTCAGACTGATAACGCTTTGTGAACTATTAGAAGAATCTTCAGAATAACTTGAGCCAGTAACAGCAATAACATCTATCATTTCATTGTCACCCATATTCCATGAATCACTTTGATCACTTAGATCACTATTCTCATCATTTATAAAAGAATGTGGTGTAGAATCGTGAACATTTTCGCTTTCTTCATCACTAGAACTAATACCAGAACCATCTGGCCAAGGAGTTGAAACTTCATTATCTTCTTCTTCTCCTCCAGTATCATTATCTTCATCATTATCTTCTTCTTCTCCTCCAGTATCATTATCTTCAACATTTTCTCCATCATCATCATCATCATCGGTCAATGGATACTCAATTTCAAACTCGTTTTCACGAGAGTAACCAGAGAGTGGGTTTGAGAAAACCACAGGAAAATTTGAATTACTACGGTAGCCAAAATCAATATCTTGCATAATATCATCTATATCATCTATATCATTTTCTTCGACATCATCATAATCATCATCATCAACTTCACTTTCATCTGTATTATCAAATAAGAATGTACTAACACGCAAATTATTACCAACATCATAATTAATAGAAGTGGAATAATATGAATCATGAACATTACTCTGCTCAAATAATTCCTCTGGATTCAATCCTAGCATTCTTAATTCTTCCTCTGTTACTACCGATTCAGGTGGTAATAGATTATATTGCAAAATTGCATCAGAAAATGATGCATTTGATGCAACTAACATTTCTTCTGATGGATTTAAATCTAAAACAAATAATGGTAAATAATTATATATTAACAAATATAAAATATTTTTATGAAAATATTTAGGCGTTCTTTACATGTTGTTTTTAAAAATGTTCAACAAAATATTATGAATATATAAGGCGTTTTTACGATTCTTGCTAGGTTTATTTTTTCACTATTCCAGATAATTTACATTAACTTAATGTTAACATATAACAATATTGTACGATTAAGAATTTATAATAGAGAAAATTTACTTATTATTGAATTTGTAGAGGAGAATATAAATTGTGCTAGAGCAAACATTTAAATTTAAAAAAAAAATTATAAGAATTTTAAAACATGAACTATTTAAGTACTTATAACTCATTTTAGATTAATAAACATGATAAAAAACTTTTTGCTAAAGCACAATTTATGCTCTCCTCTATTTGATGATAATAAGTCAATTTGCTTTAACATTAACTATAAACAAACAATAGGAAGAATCCGTTATATAGATTTACTAGGCCATGACAGAGATAACACATTCCAGTAAGGCAATCTTTTAAATTTGTAAAGTTTTAGAATAACAATTAGATATAACGATAAATTTTTTTTTTTCAAGACATAACTTATTGAATTGTATCATATTTGATCCTGTGTTTTTTTGACAATACCACCGAAAATTTCTTATTTTGTAATTGGATGTTATACGTAGATATAGAAAAGTTATAATTAAAAATCCGAATTATAAAGAAAAAACATGGACAACTTTTTACCTAATCTAAAATAATCTTTATTTTAGTAATATTACAGTAAGAATCAGATATATAGATTTCCTTAAGTCATGACAGAGATAACACATTCCAGTACGGCAATCTTTTAAATTTGTAAAATTTTGGAATAACAATTAGATAAAACGACAACATTTTTTTTTCAAGATATAACTTATTGAATTTTATCACATTTTATCATATGTTTTTTGTCAATACCACTAAAAATTTCTCATTTTTTAATTGGAATTTATATGTAGATATAGAAAAGTTATAATTAAAAATCTCAATTAAAAAGAAAAAACATAGACAACTTTTTACCTAATCTAAAACAAAAATTATTTTGTTGGAATTCAAAATAATATTTAACTTTCAATATATTAATCTATTTTATAATGACTAAAACTAAATAATAGTTTAAAATTTGAAGTAAGCTTTTTAATTAGATAGTTTTACTAATGAATAACACTACAAAGTCTACATTCAACTGTTCCAATTTTACGTTGTTAGCTTAAATAATAGAGTGAATATATCAAAACTCAAAGTTAAGAAAATTATCTGAGCTCTCTAGTTGGATTTTAATTTTAAAGCTAATTATGGCTACGTAAAATATTAAACTTATGTTTATGATCATAACTCGCTTTAAAATAAAAAATTCGGTTTTGTATAAACCAAAAAGAGAACATAGAAGTTCTTCCCTTAGAGTTTAGAATTAGGTCAATTCACTCCAAAATTAAAGATAACAACCCAAAATTGGAACGGTTGTACGCATATTTTTTGTTGTGAGTCCACATTTGTAAGGAGACAACACAATCTCTTAAACAGAAGTTTATATATAATGTTATGTTTTTTTAACCAATATGTTCACAAATGTGGTCTGAGGAAATTTTTAAATTTAATTCAGTTATTGTTAAGAGGAAACCACACGGGCATATGTTGTGTCCATCTTACGAACGTACCTGGAAAATTTTAAGTTCACAATAATACACTTTATTCTGTAATTTCTAAAAGTATAGTGAAATTACCTATTATTAAATTAAAAGATAAGGATAATAATCTTATTATCTAGGGCATCTTGGAGGCTTCTATTGATATTCTTATCAAGAAGCAAGTTATTACTATTTTAAAATGATCATAACTTAGTTAAAAATAATATCAATAAACTCCTCAAGAATGTACTAAATAATATTCTTCTTACCTCTAAATGGTATAAGAGGTGAATTCACTCAAATTTTTAGAAATTACAGAATAAAATGTTTTATTGTGAACATAAAATTTGACATGTTCTACGTTTTAAGACTTAAGACAACAAATGTCCATGTGGTAGCCACTTAAGACACATTTAAAAAGTACTGTAATAAAGAGAATTATGAGAATGCTATACCTATACTTTTCTATATTGGGATCTGCTAATTTTCATAAAATCATAATTGTTAGTTTATATTCTTCATCAATGTAGTACAAGTATCATTTATTGAGAATATTAAATATTAATGTAACTTAGTAAAAAAAACGCCTAAATGTTAATTTTAAATGTACATTAATTTCTATCATTACTTACCATAAACATGGTAACACATGTTGACTCTCAGCAAATTTAGATGTTCAAAAGTTTAAATAAATATGTAAAGAATAAGATGATCTTGACTTAAAGATATTTAATAAAATAATAATAAAAAATTACATTTTTGGAAAATAAGTAAGAAATTTAGGACACAATAATCTATTCTGGTCAATTTTATTTTAATTAAAACCATTTTTGTTTCTAATTATAGATCCTGAAATACGTTTATCAACGAAGACTTAAATGCTAGTTTGTCAGAGACAAAGAAATCAAAACAAGTTCCTAACAATCTACTGTGCAGTTTTAATTAATTAAAAACTGATATTTACCTAATAATAATTATTGTTGCAAGTTTTAATAATAATAACTGTAATAGGCATTGGTTAAGTAGAAACTATATATTATCCAATGAATTGTATAAATTTATTATTAAAACAGTATAAAAATATAATAAGTAAATGGTTAGTCTATTTAACACAACATTATTTATTTGCTTAACTGAATTTGAGGCTTTGATAACAATTTAATTACATTTTGTTTAGGTAGTATTATTAAATAATGTTGCAACTCATTATTAAAGGTGTTTAAATTTTAGTTTTTGAATAGGGATCATTTAAAAAGAATATTATTTTTAACTTTAATATTAAGAATTATTGAATAAAATTGCTATAGCTATTAATTAGTGGTATTATAAACTCTAATTTTGCATTAAGTCAAATTAATATTTCAAAATTGAATCTTCTTTTTATAAAATAGCTTTGATTCAAACCAACACTTTTTCAATTGAAACATTATTAAAATCAAAATAAACAGTACTATACTCTGTTCCAAGAGAGAACATGTCACAGTCCGACCGAGGTGTTCTGGGGCATTTCCATGCAAAATCCTGCCATAGGGGAACTGGTTTTGATAGTATGGTGACACAGTAGATGCGCAGATTCTCTCATGGAATAAAGTATTACATTATAAGTTTAATTACTAGTTACTAGCTAAAATAGATGTTCCCCGTTATGTGTCAAAAAATAAGTCATTTTAATGTTTGAGTCCAAAATGGCATATTGTAATGTGTCACATTATTCTGCACTTCTGCAGTGATACATATTATACTACACTAACAACTAGGAATTTTGTTCAGAGGGGCTTATATAAGTACTATTATACTAAATAGGATTAAAATCCATATGCACTCCGTGGTAAAAGGAAAAACCAACTGTTTAGTTTAGCTAATAAGTAATTAAATCTTCTAAAAATGTTAAAATAACAAGTTTGGATAAAGAGTATTCATATGTTTAAATCTCCACCAAACCAAATCCCCTAAAAATTGGTTAAATATTTCAATGATAATATTTACGACCATAGTCGTTCTCACATCCGAATGACGGAGCTCAGTGGTTTCGTACCAAAATTTCTCCCACTCAACCACCTGGTCGCCGCCATAAATTCCCCCTCTCGCTACATTCTACCAGGTGGAAGTGGCAACAACCAGCGTTCAGGAAGGTTTAGTGGTGGGAATGCGCGAGATCGGGCGAATTTGTTCGCCGCCCAGAAGCGTTTCCTTGCCGCACGACTATAGTGTAGTATCACTTCAATGTAGGCTTACATAGGTAAATATTTTTTGAATAGTTTGTTTTGTGGGATATATCGATATAAAAAGGTAGGTATGATATCTCTATGACTATCATAATTGCCAATAGTTAATTGACTAGGTACTAGGTAGTAACTAGTAGGTATTAGTTAAAAATTAATTGTTTTAAAATATATTATTCAAGAGCTCTGGCTAGCTTTATATTGATTATCGATTTATTACGAATATTGATACCTTAATTTCCTAAAAAAAGTTTGAGATATCGATATTGAATCGAAATATCGATATCGTTGAAGAAGCCTACTTTAGTGTATTATAATAATAATTAAATAATTATTCCCAAACATTCATTTCTTTTTAAAATGAACCTTAGATTTTGCTATAAATCAATACTTACTTTTGAGGACATCCCCTTATTACACGGTTCGCAGTTATTAGCATGGCAAATTTTTTCACATTCATGGATTTGGCAGTTTAATTTTTTAAGACAAACATTGTTGCATACAATCTGGGTTGACTGTCCACATTGCGCATATACTCGTTTTTTTCCACATCCACATGATCTGAATATAATTAGTTTTATTAAAATAAAAAATAAAGTGGAATTGAGTTTGGTTAAGTAACAACCTTAAAACTTGTACAACACATTGTGGACATGGACCAGGATGACAAAGCAGTGTACACTTATGATGACAATCATTATAGTTTAAATTAGAATTTTTTCTTTGCAATCCACAAACTTGACCACAAGAATGGGGAGTGTCAACATTGTTATGATATGGATTCGGTAAAGTACCACAAAAACATATATATTTCGGCTTTCCAGTCATCTCACATTGACACGCTGGACATCTCCAAACAGCATCTATAAAAATATCAATAAAATTAAAAAATAAGTATGGGAATAACTTAGTATTAATATGTACATTAATAATATGCTAAAATTAAAAATTAAGTGTACAAGAAATTTGCGATAATCAATGTAATTTAATTAATTTTTTTTTAATATGGTAATTGTCATATTAATTAAAATTCACCATTCCTTAAGAGAACGTCTCATCCGGATGTGTTGTCTCCGTCTTACACAAGTACGACATAGCAAATTTTCGTTTGCTAGTTTCAATAGGGTATTGTCAATTTTGATATTAGAGTGAATCAACCTATCAAACTTTTAGGTAACAACATTATCTGTGTTCTCTCGTTGGTTTTTACGATATTTTAATTTTTAAGTGAGTTATGAACATTTTAGAATATGAATACTTTACATACCCATAACTCAATTAAAAATTAAAATATCGTAAAAAACCAACGAGAGAATACAGATAATGTTGTTACCTAAAAGTTTGATAATAGGTCGATTCACTCTAATATAAAAACTGAAATACCTTATTGAAACTAGCCAACGAACATTTGCTGTGTCGTATGTGTGTAAGATGGAGACAACATATCCGGGTGCGACGTCCTCTTAAGGTCTTCTTTAACCTGTATAGACTATAGGTAGGCTATTAATTATTTCTAAAAATCTGGCTGCATTTGTAGTGAAAACACAGTTTATCAAGCAGGTACAAATTATATAAATATTATATAATATATTAGACTATAGTAATATATTTTAGATTCTGAGTGGAACGAAGAATGTATTGATTTTACAATGATGTGTGTTTTTTTTTTTATTTTTGTGTCTGTCATCACATTTTAGGACAGTAAAAGTGCTTGGATTTTCTTCAACAGTATCTTGTCTGATAGGAAAGTGAATCTAGTTGGTACTTTGGGGGGCAAAAGTAAAAATTTCTCAGTAGTTTTCACAAGCGCAGGGAAAAACAACATAAAAATTAAGGAAAAACGAGAATTTTTAAGCAAAATCGATTTTGGTTTTTGGTGTAACTCTTAAACAAATGAACGTATATATAAATGTCATATATATACGTATATACATGACATTTCACTGGTTGTTTATATTTGCATTTTCTATACACGATAACATTTTGATTTATTTTGAACTGTTTGGGGCATTTTCATTTTCTAATTTTTTTTAGTTTTTTTTCTAAAAATATCAATAAAATTTTATTTGCTGGTTGCGAAAGCTTGAAAATGTAATATAAGGCTCCTAGTATATTGTTTCAAAGGCAGATGAAAAATATTAAAATTCCTTAGCCACAATTTTTTTTTATAGCATTTAAAGGTAAAAAATTGACAAATATGGAAAATCACGAAAATTAGCAAATTATTTTGAGTTAAGAATTCGTAAAAATTTTTCTTTTTAAATCTAAGATTTGAAAATGTAATACAAGAATTCTTATAAGATTATCTACCTTTATCAAAAAAAAAATGTCTATAAGAAAGTCAAATTTAATTTTTATGAGCTTTTGAAATTCAAATTTTTACAACATTGGATATACACTCGATTTCTCATGTAGCGATTTCCTTAGTTTGTTGTAATTCAAAAACGAATAACTGTAGATACATAAAAATTTCAGTGCATGTTTATATTAGCATTCCCTATACACCATACAATTTGACTCTTTTTGAGCTGTTTACGGACATTTACGGCTTTCAATTTTTTTTTCTATAAATATTAATTGTTTTATCTGTTGGGCCAAAAAGTGTAAAAATTTAATACAAGGCTCCTGATATATTGTTACAATAGCAGTTGAAAAATATTAAAAATACATTGGCACAGTTTTTATTTATTAGCATTTAAAGATCAAATTTTGACAAAATTTATCAAATTTAAAATTGAATTATTATTTTATTAATAATTTATAAAATGTTCAACTTTTATATCTAAGGATTGAAAATTTAAAACAAGATTCCATGTAAGTAGTTAATTCTGTGACCAAAAAATCTAAAAAATACACACGTACAGTTTATTTTTATAGTCATTTTAAGCTCAAATTTGGACGAAATTACATAATAAAAAACCTAGAATAACTATTTTAGTTATTTTGTTATGATTGTATAATATTATTCGTGGGTACTTGAAACTTCTAAAGTATACTACTATATATCTATGATAGTATCAGGGTTTGTTGTTGGTGTATAACGCGTTATAAGTACATAATGGATATTGTGATATGATTAATCTGGAATTCATTATAGGTCAATTTTTTTTAATACCATTGATAGGTATATAATATGTCTTATACCTAGGACATACCGTCTCCCCTCAGAATCGTTTTTCTTATACAATGATATAATATGATTGAATTCAAATGTAATACCATCCATTATACAGTGACCCACTTGTAACCTACTGTACAGCGGAGCGACACCCACTTGCCCACCTTTTTGCTAATGTGACTGTTTTTTATCTAATTTTTTTTATGTTTGGTTGTATTTGAGACAATACTATTCGTTCAGCAAGTTTTAAAACCAGTTATTTTCATGTTTTCATCACAATAATTGTTTTAGACATGCCAAAAAATAAAATTTATGTCCAAAATGTATTTAAAGGCTACAACTACAGACCAAGAATTTTTCCGGTTGCATCACCCTGCTATAATGTATAGGTACTATAGTTAAATTCTTGACATTCGAGTTTCTAATAATTTAATCGAAGTATTAAATATTACTTACTACAATGAGATTTAATGAACCAAACTATTATGCATTTTAAATGCATAATTTGATAACAATTACGACAATTCCAAATCTGCTCAACATTTTTAGCCCGTTCATAACATATTACACAATCTACTTTGCATTCGTTCAAAAGATTAATAAGCAAATCTCGCTGGCCCTTATTATTTAACACTTCTGGTATAGAAGAATTTGTAGTAGTAACTTCATAGCTGGAGTTACTATTACTCCTAAAACACAAAGAATTATAAATTAGCAGTCAAAATGGTATAATCATTAATAGTTTTATATGAATGAATCCTACCCGCTACTATTTGATGCGCTTGAACTTCCACAAAATGTCATTGACTGAATTACTAAATGTGGTCTTTGATTAGCCGTAGTCTCGTCATTTGCTAAACATCAAATACAAACAAATTAATACAATTTTAAATAATATAAATGAAACAAAATAAACATAATATTCACATAAATAGGAACTTAAATCTTTAAGATAAGAAGCCCAACAAATACTTGTGGGGGCCCATGATTTTATAATGTACAATAGAAGTAGGTAAATAGGTGAATATAGTATGTCATAAAATTATATATAAAAATACAAAATACATAAATTTTGTTATTTGTAAAACAAAAGGTTAGGTAGGTATAAATATAAACTTATTATTAATAATAAATTACATAGGCTAAAGTTAGTGTAGGTTCTTATAATTTATATAATATAACTTGATACCTATATGTATTTCCTGATTACCTTAGTACACTTATTAAAACTAAAAATACTAATGGAACATTATAATTATTATTAATTACCAATAGGAATAAATTCTGGAGCATTTGGTGATAAATTGGAAGTAACCCTCGCTGTATTTTCATTACGATGATTAGTCCTTTTACGGCTATTTCTCAGTGTTCTCGGCATTGTCAATCAACTTGTTGAAATTAATTAGCTAAAACAAAGACAACAAAAACCATTTTTAAGTGTCTATTATTTTACATAAAATTTTACATAAAAAATACAATTTTAATGCAAGCATATGACACATAAGGAGTAAATAAATAAATAATAAAATAGATCTGATTCATTTTTCATAGCAACTTATTTTTAACAATATCAAGTATAATATATTTATGATAAAACAAAATAGTCATTGTATGTACCTATTTAAAATGTAGTAGCATTATTACTTTAAATTTAAGTACAGTATAATTTCAAAACCATTAATCATAGGTGTAAGTTACCCTATAATATAGAGCACCTAAAATAAATTACATTGGAAACTGTTTAGGTTTAGAATTTCTGGAGAATTTTACTAATAGATATAAAATAATTTAATCTAAATGTATTATTGTTAATAGAAATTGTATAATGTTAAGTACTTGAGAGATGGCAAATCTCTGAACCAATGAGACAGAAACAGATGCTCTCATAAAACAAGTTATTCAACAACAGGTGTCGAGACGTGAAGAAATTAAAAATTATTATTAATTAAAAATAAAGAGTACACAGCTACATACTCACAAAAATTCGGGGAAATTTATGGCCACTGGTGGGCGAAAAGGACGATAATGATTAAATTATTGGTGGCCACGAGTTAAGATATGTCCCTCCTCCCTCCTCATTCGCAAGGTACGCGATAGACCGCTGGATAGTAACAATAATTTAACGTAAGTAAAAAAAAAAACAGACCCGATGGAATGGCTCAAATTCGAAAAAAACACCGAGTTGGCGTGGCAGTGATCGTTGGTACGATCGCCACAAAAACGAGAATACGTTCAGCAGTTTATTATCACTCACCGGAAAAAGAGTGCGAACCGCTTCGCACGGAATCTGCTCAGTTGGACGATGTGCCGTCGGCAGATTTTATATTGGAACACGATGCGGCAGCAAGAAAACAAGGGAGATGGCGGACAGCGCAACAAACGCGTGCCGGGCACTTACGGTAGGAAAATAAAACGCGTACTTTGTAGTTTGTACCAGTCCGACAGGCGACAAGCAGTGTGTGTGTGCGGCAGCGGAAAGTTCAGAAGTCGCTGAGGTGATCGTCCGAGCTGCGACGGCCAACAGGCGCACGCGCGCACGACAATGGCCCTATGGGCACTGCGCTACTGCGCAACGGACTTACGGACTACAGAGTGTCAGAGTACAGACTCTCAGGCCTCTACGGAGTACGAACTACGGTATTACCACAGAATCTATTCTGTAGTATTACCGTCAATACTGTGTTGATGGACGAAGAGCCGACGGGTCGCATCACTTGACAATTCCAACATTTCAGACATTCAGCAAGCACTAAGCAGTAAGCACTACTCACTATTCAGTATTCTGTGCCGCTACTTGTCAGTAGCCGATCCGTCGATCAGCGTATCGTACATCAGTGTCGGATCAGCCGTTCGGGTGGACCGTGGACGGTGGACGCACTGGTTGACCTTGCGCCTTGTGACCCGAGCCCCGCTTTACCGTCCGTCATTCATATCACTCATGTTCTCAAACGGTGTGACCTCCGCGGGCGAATTGTAAAGTTTTTCCATCGACGGTTGTCGCTGTGGAAGAAGTGTTGGTTCGTGTATTTTTAAAAACACATGTTCTGAATCCGGGCTGACAACGAACAACACTGTGGCGAGTGCTGGCAACTGGCGAATCGCAAACCTTAAAACAACGCCATGGATGGAGCGGGCCCACGACACACCTGATCAAACCGATCGTTTCTTTCTTCCACGACTTGCGCGGTGTTCGTGTGCGAATGTAGGTATTTATTTGTGTGCGTGAATGCGACTTCGATTTTATTTTTTGTTTCGTAATTTCGACGCTATTCCGTCTACTACTGATACAGTGCTACTAATACTACACTCCACTACTACTACAGTCTGCACTACTGCAGTACTGTACGAAAAACGAGCACACTACGAATGCCCTGTCCCGTCGGCCGTCCGTCTTGATAAAATAAAATAAAACGGAAAAACAAACGGCCCTCGGACAGTGTATTGTGTATTTTATTATTATCTTATTCCGTCTCGTTCCCTACGCCGTTCCGTCTCTTAAGTCTTAACCGATGTTCTACGGGTGATTGAACCGTCGAAGTGGAGCAAGTTCGTATGAGTACACATTGCGTCTGATATTATTACAATATTAATAACAACGACGACGACTTTTAACTTCGAGTTGTTCCACCGCTGTCATAACAATTCCCGCGCGATGACGAGTATGTGTTGTTGAAATAGCGTACGATTTTCGTAGTACGCTTCCCGTGCCGCCGAGCAGCTGTCGTCCAAACACACACTAACTAGAATATGGGTCGCAAAAAGAAGAAGCAGTCCAAGCCATGGTGCTGGTATCCTTTTTAATGCTATTATTGATGATACCTAGTTTTTACTTTTATTCTGTCGGATTAGTTATTTGTAGATATCCATTTTGGTAATCAAAATATCTAAAACCCTATTTTGTATTTTAATTCAGACACTATGACTATATATTATATGATCGTCTATAGGTACATATTGTGTAGGGGTAGATTGTCTTGTTTTTATTATAATTTTTATTGATTTAACCCTCTGTGTGGCTGACTGACAGCACATTTGTATGGGTTCTCTCTGGATCTATTGTATAGTGTCTGAAATTACCCGTTGTAAGCGTTTATGGATATATAAAAGTAGATTTTATTATAGCTGAGATTATTGCCAAAAATGTTTTTGCCAATGCACCACCACCACGTTAGCCAATAACAAAATGCTTGTGTTACCACATCACTAAAAAAAATAAGTTCAAGCGGCGAATTTACAATTAAACAATTGTTATTTTGACGACTTTTATGTTATATTTTTATTGGAATAGGTATCTGTTTATCATTAAAGTTTTAAAACTGTTTAAAATGTAAGTTTCGATTTTTCTACTTGACAATCGTTATTATTTATACCTCGGGAACTTGATTTATTAATGATCACCTTTATTCAATTATTAAAAGTATTGGTTAACCTAGTGATTACTATTGTTGTATAATTACATCTCTTGGTTTGCATGTCCAGTAGAGAAATACTGAATATTTAAGAAATATTTGGGTTTTGGTATTTATACAATTTTACTGATTGTATATTTGATGTTTACATATTTTGAACTTTATATTATAATGAAATAAGCGCTTCTATCTGGTATCATTATTTTGTATTTTTGTGATTTTATTACATAATATGGTGTACATGACTTATTCACTACTTTACAAAAATTATAGATTTTATATTTTTATATTCACCCTTTTGATGAGGTATAGTGCAATTTCATTAATTTGCCAAAAGGTTAATATTTCATCACTTAGACATAACTGGTGTTTACTTGATTAGTTTCATTTTTTTTCAATAATAGTTAATTATTTGACAATTGTATCAAAAGCAGTATAAAAGAATTTAAAAACAAATTTTTGTTCTCAAGGCCTATATGACACTAGCTGAAATTCACAGTGGAATTTCCGCAATATTGAAACCATAGACCTATAAACTAACGAACGTCGAACAGTTCATTCCACTCCACCCTGCCATCAATGCATTGTGCAAGTGAAGGAGCTCGTAAAGGAACTGTATACATTTTACTATATACATTGTTTCTTTTCTCACTCATTCTATATCGCACCCCTGATTTCTCTCTCTAAACTCTGTCCATTCGTTTATAGGTCTATGATACAAACGTGCTGCAACATTTTTTTTGTCCTCACTAGTATAATATGCACATGTATTTAAAACAACGTGTTTTGATGTCTGCAGTATCAATTTTCCGCTGTTGATAATCTATTGGTGTGATATTGGCCCTAAGTTATGTAAGCTTTTATTTAAAATGTTTAAATTTGTAGATAATGGTTCTAGGTTAAACAACTAAAGATGAATTATGTACAAAATTAATATAAAAAAATTATATTAGGACCTTGAGTATACAAATATTGCTTTTTATTTATAAAAAAAAAATTGCATCATTTACATTTGCCATAAATGTTTTTACGTTACAAAATATACCTAAGAAGTTACAATAATAATAGAGCATAATATCCCCTAAAGCCTACTGATGTCAAATATTACAAGTTGATTAGAATAATAAATATCCAAATTACTTTTACACTAGGTAAATTAGAAAGGTTCTTATGTATATATTTTATGCTTGTTTGATATCATGAATATAATTACCTAATCTTTAGTTGGTATTGATTGAATCATTTTCATGTTTTTATTTAGACACATAGTTAAGATAATGTTGTTTTTATGGATTTTTTATTCAAATACCCCTAAAAACTACGTAAATAACTAATTTTGATTATATTTGATCCTTAATTAAATATTAAGGTATTGCAACCGTGAATTTGATGATGAAAAAATTTTAATTCAGCATCAAAAGGCAAAACATTTTAAATGCCACATATGTCATAAAAAACTATACACTGGTCCTGGTTTATCAATTCATTGTATGCAGGTTAGTATATTATTAATAATTACTATTTTACATAGGTGTATAATATGTATTTAACTATTTTATACCTTATCTTCTAAAATAATTTAGTTTTATACTATAATTTGAGTGAATATAGGTATTTCTAAAATTCCCAACCTTTTAATTTACATCATTAAAAATTTATTATTTTTATTTTTTAACTTTCTAACTTATTTGTGATATAACCAGAAATTATTTTATAAGTTTGAAATTTGTCTACAGGTTCACAAAGAAACAATAGACAAAGTGCCCAATGCACTTTCACATCGTTCTAATATTGAAATAGAAATTTATGGAATGGAAGGAATTCCTGAGGATGATATGAAAGAACACGAGCGACAAAAGTCTGGTGGCAAAGGTAATATAATATAAATACAATGACTATAGCCTATAGGTTTTTAAATACATACATAATGAATATATTTTTGTGACTGTACCTATTATTTTAATTTATTATTATTATAGGTACACGATCGGATAGTGATGATGACGCTGGGCCACCTGTAAAGAAAAAACCTGAGTATTCAAATCCAGCTGGTCCTTCCATGATGCCACCTTATAATCCTATGATGAATCATATGCAAGCTATGGGCCCTCCTTATATGGGACCAGGGTAATTAAATAATCATTATAAGTGGTATAGACAAAAATATATATGCTGGTATACGGATAATCTTGAAATCCTAAAAAATATTTGAGAAAGAAAATAAAACTAATACAGTGGTTGGTAGATATAAATTGTTTTACCCTTTAAAATATTATTTACATTTTTTTAATGCATTTTATAGGATTATAATTTTTAAAGCATAAATTACAAAACTGAATAATAAAAACGTGGGCAAGTGGATGTCGCTCTGCTGTACACTAGGTTACAAGTGGATTACTGTAATTGAAGGTGTTAAATTTGAATTCTATAATATAATATCATAGTATACGAATAACAATTTTGAGCGAAGACTGTCAGTCAGCCTATGATATCTTACTAAGTATATTTGTGAATAAAGTAATTTATTTACCTATTTATGTGGAACCTTGTTTAACTGAACCTTGTTGATCCTTAGCTATAAAGGTTGAATATTTTATACATTTTCAACTACAAAATCATTTTAGATTCTGAGCAGAGCTTTTTAAATTTGTTAAATGTTATCAAAATTCAAACTCTAAATGCTGATAAAAAAAATGTATGCCTGTATTTTTAATATTTTTCAACTGTTATTGTAGCAAAATTTCTGGAGCCTTGTATTACATTTTCAGGCTTTTTATACTTGAGATTTGCACTTGATACCCAATAGACCTGAAATTAAAATATTGTCAAAATCCAGTATCCAGTATTCATAAAAATCCAAGACTTTAAACCCAACATCAAAAATATGAGCTACGGTTTTCAGTGTGAATTTTTTTTCATAAATATTATATTAATATACATTAATAAAACAATACAACAAATTATTATTACAATTAATCCCATTAAGGTCACATACTAAACAAATACCATTATTTCTTATCCATATTAATGATATTACTTTTCAAAATTGCCCTCAACTAATGTTTTCTGATTATATAAAAATTTTCTGTATAGTTAATTGCTGATGCTGATTTACCTACTTAAATTTAATTTAAAAATTTATTATGAAACTACCAGTAAAAAAAAATAAAAATGCTTATTCATAAATACTTTTCAAAAATATCTCAATCAATACTGATTGTTTTAATATCTAAAACATTATTTAAGACTACACCACTGCTCATAAGTCATAATACATTAATTTACATTTTATAAACTTTTTTAATATATTAATTAGAATGCCAATGATGGGTCCTTCTGTTTCTGTCGGTCCTATGCCACCTGGTCAACCTGTGGGAATGGGAAATAAGCCATTATTCCCTAGTGCTGCAGCAATTGTAAGTTTAATATTTTTTTATGTTTACCTTTAATGTAATTGCACTTTTGTATATTTTAGGCTAGTAACTCTGATGTTCGTTCAAATAGCACAATGCTATCTGGTGGTCCAGTTGGTGGCCTTAATAAGTCAGCATTTCCAGCTTACTCTGGGTAAAATATAAATTATTGTAATGTTTGGAGTATTGTATTAAGCATACTCATTATTTTTGTTAGTAATAATATGAAATAAATATTTCAAAACTTTATCATAACAGTGAATTACTTAAGCCTTTCACTGCTGTGGATGCATATTATATGTGTCTAATGTTAGCGACTCTGTGGTACTATGGACACATATGTGTCTTATCATTTAAAAAAAAAAAAATTGTTTTGATTAATGTGATTAGATGAACATAATGTGATAAATTATTAGGCAAATCCAAAGAGACACTAAAAAATATATATATTTATTAATAACTCTTGAACTATATAATATGCAATACAAAAAAAAATATTGTCCCAGCATAGTGCATTATACTAAATTAATTCAGTAGTGAAAGGGTGAATAATTTTCTTTTCTTATATACTCTGTATACTCCATTTAATGAAAGAAGGAACTTGTTATTTCGTCGGTTTCTGCGCTTCTCCCATCACTTCACCTGTTTGACTTACCGCCAAGCGGTAAGAAGTGGAGGGAATTTGGCTTCCAGCTATTGTCGACATTAGTTGGATGTGTGAAACGAGTTCTTTCTCTCATAAAACTGAGTATAGTATACATTTTGACTATCTAACGTAATTATCATTTTACTGCTTAAATCCTAGGAATGACAATGATTCAAAATCAAAATCACTTATTAGTTCTACTGGAACATCTAGTAAAATAATTCATCCATCAGAAGATATTTCTTTAGTAAGTTTAATATTATTATAAATTGATTCATTTGTAGTTTAAATATCGGAATTGTAATTTTAGGAAGAACATAAAGCTCGTTTTCCTAAGTATGTTATTCATATGGACATTCAAAATCCATTACCAACAAACATATCTGAGCAACATCAACTCGGTGCACCACTCATGTCACCTCATGGTCAAGTGTCTCCTGTAACTCAACAATTTCAACAACAACAACAACAACAACAACAGCAGCAACATCAACAGCAGCAGCAGCAGCAGCAATTGCAACAGCAACTTCATCAGCAACAACAACAACAACAACAGCAGCAGCAGCAGCATCAGCAGCAGCAGCAGCAGCAGCAACAACAGCAGCAGCAGCACCACCATCATCAACATCAACAACACCAACAAGCAATTCAAAATGAGGTAAGGTAGAGAATATTTAAGCATATGGTTCCAGCTTCTAATTCTTAATAGAGGTTATCCACCTCTTAACCATTCAAGGTCCGTTAAATGTCCTGTTGACGACTGAAACTGCTTAAAATCATAAAGTATTAAGATTTAATTGAGTGGACTGACTTTGTAAGTACAAAAAATGTGAATATTAGGACAGGTTTTTTTAGGTGAATTTAGGACTATTTTATTTCTTTAGTTTATCACTTATTATATTGTTATGCAAATTTTCTTCAGTCGTGGTTAGATTGTAACAAAAAGTACATAAATTTAAGATACAAAGGTTTATCAGGTTGGGTGAATAAAAAGTGAGTAAATTTTCAGGTATTTTTGGTTAATATTTGCATCTGCTCGTGAATATATATTTTGCTTTATACTTATATATTATTATTTATATTATAATTATTATTATTATTATTATTATTATTACTATTATTACTATTATTATTTATAACATTTAGGATAATTTATGTGTTATTTTCAACCATATTGAATATTAATTTATTTTAATATTTTTAGATGGAACGACAAGTAGCTGCTATGGCAGCAGTTATGCAACAACAACAACAGCAGCAGCAGCAGCAGCAGCAACAGCGATTTGCTGCACCAGTTATATCAATGCCTAATATGATGCCCCAGCCTCCTACTGTTTTTATGGCTCAGCAAATGCCTACTCTTTTACGGCCTTCTTTAGGTGGCTTACCACCTCATGCTATGAGCATGCTAAGGCCTCAAATGCCTATTCATCCAGGTATTTATTATAAAAATAGTGTTATTAACTCTCAAAAGCTTATGTATTGATTGATTATACAATGAAATATATGTGTTAGGTTTAATGGTTAACCCACCGATGGTCAATCCTTATGCTCCCGGTGGACCAATGGGCTTCCCAGGCGCTCAAATGTTAGCTCCGATGATGCACCCTCGCTTCAGATGATCAGGTTTGTTGGGGGGCGTATTACTCGTGTACAACAACACACCCCCGTCACTTTTGTAAGTTGTTAATTTTTTTTTTTAATTTCCAATTAAAAACAAATTGTTAATTTTATTGAAAAAAAAAAGAGAAAAATTAAACTTTATTTCCTAATTGAGCTTAGGATTATTTAAGATTAAAAGTTAGTGATTTTCTTTTTTCTTTTTATATAAATAATATTTTATAACTTCTATCTATGAACTTAATTGATTTACAGAAGTTAGTTATTACCCCCATTCATTAAATTAATCAAAATATAACAAATTTCTATTCATACAGTTTTGTTTACAGAAAAAGGAAAAATTTTGAATAATAACTGAAACGCAGTTTCAGTGAAAAATCAGTAAGTCCTTATATATTTTAAATGTCCTTAACCCCTCGTTTTTCATTCTTTGGATTTTTTTTTCTTGATTTATTTGTATATTCCCAAAAATAGTTTGTAACTAAATGTCACACGTACATTTTTTTGTAGAACGTGTGTGGTAGTATTTATTAGTGTGACGTGGATTTCGTACAAACTTTTTACGCTCAGCATAAAATGCACAGCAAATTTGTTTATATATAAAAAAAAAAAAAAAAATGTTGTTGAATGTGTTTTAATTATTTATATAGTGTTATGTTGTGAGAATGAGTAAGTACTAATCACTCACGTATAAAATATAGTAAAACTTCATTGTTCATCTCAAAAAAAGCGTGTTTTTAGCCTTTTAGGTTTAGATTTATAACGTGCCTACTGATTTCTCAGATGACGCGGCTCAGAATTCTATAATCTTTGGTATGTCACTTTGCATTTTTAAATAAATTTAAGGCCTAATGTTTAGGGTTTTAATTACTAACATATTAGAATTAAAAATATAATTGTAAAAATGAAAACAAGAAAACACACTTTTATTATTCTAAATCATTAACAAATTTATTATCATTACATTATTATAATTTATTATATATTAAGTACGTGTGTATGATGTAATTCAAGGTAAGAAATATTTGTTTTATAATACTAAATTTTTGGAAATGCACTGTAATCAAATTTTCTTTAAAAAAATTTGATTATTACCATGCATATTCTTTTTTTTTTCAAATAAATGTAAGCACATATCTGAAAATTGGTTCAATTATTTCTATAAAGTGAATCCTCTGAAAATGGTGAGTACCTCATTCACGAAAGTTTATTAATGCTCCATTCAATATTCTATTGCCAATCATTTGAAAACATAATTATATTATCTAAGAATGATTACAGTATTAGGATATTCAGAATTGAGATTTTGTTTAAAATTATCTGTTTATGGATATTGTACCAATAAAATTAAAATACCCATCTGAATATAAAACTTAAATTCTTAATATGATTCAAAATATAATTATGATGAACCATATTATAATAATACTTAAATTTAATTGCCCACTGTATGTGACCGGATTAAACACAGATCTTTGAATCCCTCTCATATTATTTAGTTAGTTTTTTTTTTTGTTTTAATCTAAAATGTATTTTGCATACAAAAATTCCATAACTGGCAATTTAAATTTTTAATTGAACTAAATTTTTTTTTTAATTCAGAATAAACTATTAAAATTTAACACATTAGGTTAACAATTAATGTTTTAATTTTATCCTAAAGTCTACTTTTTTATATATATTTATATATTTCAAGAGTATTGCAATTTCATTATTTAAAAATAATTAGTATCAATATTAATTCTGTAACCTTATACATTTTTAAAATTGTTATAACAATTAGTTATTCTAAACAGTTTTATTATATTATTTATGAATGGTTTTTGTCATCCTCTTAATACCTATTTAAGGTAGTTTACGGATCTTGTAAATCTGAATATGGTCATCACTAACAGGTACTTGTATCTGTCTATCAAGTCCTGCCGTCCAAATAGACTACATTCACTGATTGAGGTTGGTGGTTGTGGTCACAGTGAAGCTGTTGGACCCTAAATTGGGTCCCCTGAAACACAGCCCCAGGCGAGGCTATCCCTCACAGCTGACCTGTTGGACTTGTATTACCAAGTCCCCTGTTAACCACAACAGGCGACACATTATATTATTACAAGTTACATAATATTTGTTTCGAATCTGCGTACAGATTGTTTTTAGTGTAGTTTTGCATGTCAAATGCGATTTTTGGGATAAGCCAAAATGGTTGCGGTAATAAATGACTCAACAAATTATAATGGCTTTGCACACTACTTTGGGCGCTGATTAACACTTCTGTGATTGTTGAAAATAAATTCAAATCTTATGATGTGTTTTAGGTTGGGTGATTGATAAAGGAGAAGTTTTTTACAATTAGAAGTATAATTTGTTTTTATTGATTTAATTTTATACACATTTTTTTAAATTTTAAAAATAAATACTATCATTAATGATAATAAAATATTTAGAGTACATTATTTATATTTAAATAATTTAAAACAAATTTACATTTAATTCCCATCAAATATTTTGAAGTGGTAACTCATGGGTCTTCATTTTCACCGTTTTTTATTTTGTTGTTTATCGATGAATCATTCCACGATTGAGTATCAGCAGTTCCAAATATAACATATAATAAGTTTCCAATGAAGAAGACGCTAGCTGAGCATAAAAACACTATGCCCCATTGGTCTTTGTTACACTAAAACAAAAAATACTTTTACATTTTGTAGCAATTTTAAAATATATAAATACATCTTACATTGTCCGTTACAACGAAGCCTACTAACAATGGTCCCAATATTGACGTAATATTTGCTATACTATTTGTAATTCCTAGTAGTGTGCCTGCAAAATTGGGTGCCAAATCTAAATGGTTGGTCAAAAAACCTGTGAAAACGCCGCTGTTTAAACTAAGAGCTGCAGTCAACAAGACTATTGCTCCTGTAGTTGATGTATCAAATAGATAGAGTGAGACCAATGCTAAAGCTCCACCCCAGTGAGCTAAGCTATTCCAAATTTTCCTCTGGTTTGTATTTGATATCAAACCATGTGTCCTGATGTAGTCGCTAATCCAGGAAAATGCTATAATCAGGATCCACATGATCAAGTATGGCATAGCAGATAAAAATCCATTCTAAGTAATAATATATAATAAATATATGAATTTGAACATTTTAAATCTTTAAATATCTCACTGATTTAATGTCGAATTTTAGTATATAGTTAATATAGGTTGGCATGTTTGTTAATAAAATCCAGAATCCCAAGTTCTGTGTTAGGTGTGCAATTATAAGTGTCCACATAGGAATTGATGTAAATATCTTTCCCCAAGGAGTTGGTAAAGGCTACAAAAGTAACATTTTATAAAATCACATTGTTTATCTATTAGAATTTTATTAATTTACCTTATTTGATATTGTATTACTTAATGAGTTAATAATGAATTTTTTTTCTGCCTCACTTATAGTTTGATGTTCTGATGGGCTGTTAGCTCCCATTAAAGACCAAACGAGTACCCATACTAATGTGAACGCACCACCTATGTAAAATATGGCTGGCCAACCACCTGAACTACTAGCTAATAGACCTGCGGTAGGAAGCATAACTAATGATCCAAATTGTGTGCCGCTAAACACAAATGAAATCAAACGTCCTTTTTCGGATGCTGGTGCCCATTTTGATAGCAAAACATTAACTGCTGGAAATATGAAACCCTAAAACAAAATATATTTCTGTTATTTAATATAGAAGGTATTTCATTTTATACTTGCAAGCTGTATAGCAGGTATAAAATACAATTTTAAATTATGTAAGTGAACACTTTCAGTTTAAACAGCGACTACTGTTTATATCAATATTTGTTTATGCTCTTTAATAATATAAAAAAAAAAGTAGATAAAAAGAATTTGAGACATTTTTCCCATTTGGTTAGAAATACATAAAATAGATTATTTGAAATGATCGTTACCACCATAAAATAATACCTTTTCTACCTACTTGAAATAGTGTCACTGAACCCCCTTCAATCTCTTTATTCATTATATAAATGAATACCTATAGATTGTAAATATATTAAATTTATAAATATAAAAATCTATTGTACCAATATATTTTAAAACCGTATAACTTAAAAGTACTATAAATAAACATATAATGTGTGAAAACTTTTTTAATTTTCCTTCATTGTTTTAACTTACTTGTGCCATTCCTTGAACCATTCTGTTTGCACACATAACTAATACACCACCGTGTATCGCCGATGCTGGAGTGAGTATTGTCAAGACACCACTGACTCCTAATGCACCAGCTAAGAAATATTTACCTCCATACTTCTGTGCCATTTGTCCAGCATATACTTGAGTTATTAGATATCCCCAAAAAAATGAGCTTAATACTTTGCTTTTTGATGATTCGTTCCAGGGCAACTCCTGAGAAAATGTTTTATATTAATATAAGTGTTGTACCATTACCTAATGAGCTTGTTTGTTTGCATATTATAATATGTCATACTCACTATAAAATGTCTATTGGCACTTGATTTGTCAGTCATAGCTACAATGGCAACTGACAGATTAACTCTCAACCCATATGAAATTACCATTCCAAAAAAAAGTATTAATGTTTGTTTATGTCGTTCGCCCCATGAAAATTCTTCTATAAAACGTTTTAATGTTAAATACTTAATGGTAAAGCATTTTAAACTATACATTTTGTATAAGAAATAATACTAGGTATACATTTTTTGGAAACTGAAATTTGCCCAACACTTATTAGGTATTATGTACCTATCTATAATACACAGGTATCAATATGACACGCGTTACTAATATTTTCTCATTAGTGTCGACATTATGTTAATGTTTATTTTTTTTCCTCTAGTAGGGAAAATATGGTCCGTGTTAATTCTAAACTAATTGTATAATAGTGTAGTAATCCATTATTATTGCAATTTTTGTTTATGAATTCCTTTTATTTGTCCAAATTAAATCGACAAATTATTATTTAGCTTATACTAAGTGTTAAGCTGTACAAAGGTATTTTATAATTATTAATTAATTTTTTTACATCACTACCTACTTCAATAATGCAAGACTAATGCATTTACACATTTAGAGGCTAATACTTATTTATACTGATTATTGTACGTATACATTTTAGGGGGTAAATGACACTATTAGTTCTTTGCGTTAATGATAATATAATATAATATTGAACTACTTTGTAATTGTTTTACCTTAATTAAATTGTTGAAATGAAATATAGTATAGTCGTTAGATATTTATTATGGATTCAAGAAAATGAATTAATACCTATTCAATATTATTGAGGTACCTAGGTATATCATTTAATGAAGAAAAATCAACATTAAACAACAAAATTCAATGTTTTTGGAAAACAGGTAAGTGATATCATTGTACCTAAAATAAATTATGACGTGTTTTACCATTTTTAAATATCTATGTAAATAAATATGAAGTAACGAATGCAGTCATAAATTAATTTAAAACTTTCATAGTTGAACACAAAAGTTCAATTATGCATAACATATAACAAATTAATTAATATGATTTTTTCAAAAATTGTATTTTTAGAATGTCTGGCAAATGGCAATTAATGCCTAAGCTCCCTGTGAAGCAATTTACTTTTATTTTCCAATTGTTGGATAACTTGATCAGAATAAATACTACCTATATTGAATATATTTTTGTTAGAAGCCATGAACATAAGGCATCCTAACTTCAACAAATGTTTTAATTAAGTTCTGATAACTTTTAATATTGAACATGCGTGTTCACAAACTATATAGTTTCATATAATTATAAAAGTTTATGAAAGTGCAAATATAATATTTAAAAAAAAAATCGTTTAAGTGAGTGTTCCGTTGTACAGTAGGCCTCTGTAATGAATGGTGTTAAATTTTAATTCTATTTTAATTACGACAAAACGACTAAAATCGTTCATGTTTTGAATATGTAATTTTGTCCAAATTTGAACTTGAAATGTCTGTAAAAAATAACAATGTTCATACATTTTTTTATAGGTATTGTTTGGTTACAGTATGAACTATTTATAAGAATCGTTTTAAATTTTCAATCCTTGGCTATAAAAATTGAACATTATATGATTGTTAAATTTAACTACAAAATAATTTGAACATTTACGAAATCAAAGACAAGCTTACGTATTTACGACTATTTACGTAGACAAGCTTATGAGATAAGCTAAATTCAAAATAAATAAGTAATGGTCATGGTATGTACCTATATCATTTGGTATAAATGATTTCTGTCTAAAACATATTTCGAATTTTGAAGTTTGTGGGGGGCTGGGTGATCTTGATTGTACAGTGAGTTGGTATTTTGATTTTTATATTCCCCACAATGAATTATAATTTTTTGTAAAGATGCTATAAGTTCAAAGTTGCTTAAAAATATATAGTCCCACAGACTTTATAAGCTGGTTTCCACAATTTAAAGTCTGTGGGACCATAGGGGTGACTGCGTGAACTTATGACTCCCCCAAAAGTATTTTGGTTTTTATGCGCCTTATGACCGTTTTAATTTTTTTTATTGCGAGATAATATAGGTTAAGTCGTAGTTGACCTATGTAAGTAATTAGTTGCATACAATTTGAAAAATTTTGATAGCTCCCAAAGTACAGAGTTACAAATTTTGATAAGTGATAGTAAGTTATAAACAGTTATAAGTTATAACTTATAAACGAGTTAAAAGTACTAAAATTTTAGTGTGGAGTCGATCAAAAAAGTTGATTTACTAACTTCATCATAATAAAATGTATCTAGGTCGTTTCTCTAATCTCTTTCTAAAACCTAATATTATATAATAATCAAATAACAATACTAATTAATAGGAGTTACTAATGATTACCTACCTATGTTTACTGTTATATTGTTTAATGTTGTTGGTACTTGTTTAGTTGCATCACATTAAATAAGACAAAAATCCGAAAATCATAATCTCTGATAAACAAATTATACTCATTGGTTAGTGCATGATAATTTGTTATATAGCCATATAGGTACTGTAAGTGGTAGGCCGTGAGGTATATCTATATGGCTATATTAGTAACTATATACCTATTGATTTTATAGAATATATAGGTAGGTATTGGTAACGCCGATAGCCGATAGGTTGTGTTTATACTTCCGATTTTTTTTTACATACTTTTTATTTATGCAATCGAAATGCATCGAAATTCTTGACATGCCACTGGATCTGGCGTGGATCGCACTGTATATCTGACATAGGTTAGGTCTAACCTAGGTATTATGAAATCGTTCATAAAAGTCATAAACTGTAGATCGGTAGGTGCCAATAATACAACTACACCAACTGTTTACTCTAAATTATTAATGCGTCATTGGTTTTCATATTTTAATTTAATTCATAATATTGAAAGTCGTTTGTTATAACTAGTTATAAGTTAACGTGAATAAATGTCACGATTTTACCATCATATCATTGAATTAGACCAGAGGTCGCCGCAACCCGAGGCCTTCATACCAATTTTATGTGACCCGCAAGCAAGGGCTCCCACAGGATCAAATCCCACCCGGTGGCCGGGACAAGAAAAAATCTAGTTATAGTGCTATACTGATATTTATATTATAGTAGTAAACAGTAGCGTACGCAGGATTTTAGTTTGGTTAGGGTTTTATATGAGTAAATATTTTACATTATTTTTTGCTAAACCATTTTTATATTAAAATTGGTTATCATAAATTATAGTTAGTCTATATTTAGAACACTCAAGTGTTTAACCTAGTCAATAGTCATCTATAGAGCCTCTTCGGGTCGTAATAAAAGTGGTAATAATCGATGGACGATGATACGATGATACACCATACGACGATTATGGCAGACGTTTAGCAATGTTCTAAATTAGAAAAAGAAAAAACTGAAACTATAATTACCGACATCTTTGTTGATTGTCTATCTAACAATTCATTTTATATTTATTAAAAATGACATACCATTGGTCAACTCTGTGTATTGAAATGGTGGTAAATAAGGTTTTTTTTTGTAAAGGAAGATATTTCAGGGGGGGGGGGGTAAGAACCCTAGAACCCTACCCCTGCGTAGGCCACTGGTAGTAAAGTACATGCAGTTAACATTTCCCAGGGGGACAACGGTCCCTTTATCCCCCCTCCCCTTCGGGAGACAACATGTGAACTAGAAAAGGCGAATTAAAATGGTAGGTATTTTAGATACGACCTTGTTAAATTAATATACCTACCCAATAGTTATGAACATAAATAAACTAAATTTGATATGAGTGATATACTTTACTAGTTTATAACTGTATACCTGTACAAATTGTAACCCATGAAAAATTTGTATTTATTTTTTGGCCCTTGACGTCTAAAAGGTTTCCGACCCCTGAATTACGCTAATAGGTGATTATTGATTAATAAATGTAACACTACCTACCTTTCTATTTATTAATTTTATATGTAGGTATATATGGAATTGGCATATTATAATTTATAAACATATCATAGTAGGTATAGTGCATTAGTGCGTTCCTACCTGTAAGGCTATAAAGCATAGGTACCTACTATGTGTAGCTATAGATTCTACCAACCTAAATCATAAGTTAATATTTACTAATATAAGTAATAATAATTAAAAATAAAAACAGCTAATAAATACATTAATCGCTGCACTCAGAATCTACTAATAATATAATAAGTGAGGTCACCTACCTTTGATATTGCTTATTACGTTTAGTAGTGACAATATAATATAGGTACAATATTAATGTGTCAATGTAGGTACTGCTGTATTAGTGGCATAAATTGGGTGGTGCAAATATAGCACTTGCACCACCAGACATTTTATTGGGCTCTGAAGTATATTAGAATAAAACCATAACAATTTGCAATCTATTTTGAGTTAAAAATTCATAAAATATGTTCTATTTAAATCTAAAATTTGTAAGTATAAGATTCCACATAAGTTTTTTTACCTTTACAAAGGGATTTGTAGTATTGGTGGGTACCTACCGAAATTAAAATATTTCTCTACACCTCCAGAAATTGAGGTCAGTTTACGCCACTGGTCTGTATACACTATACATAATATTACATACGGTTATAGTTAGGAACTTAGGCATAGGCGCAAATTGGGGGGCTATGCCCCTCACAAATTTAGCCGTAGCTCCCCCAAAAACCTAGGACATACAATTTTTAAAATGTTATATTGCAATGGTCTGCCTGCCTTTAATATTTTCACCCCCCCCCCCCCCAAGTCAAAAGTTGAAATGGCGCCTATGAACTTAGGTGACTGACAAGCATAAATTGTGCATTTATTTATGATTTATTTATACTCCTAGGAGTTCTAGGCCCTAATTTACTGCATTTTTTGTTTACATAAATGATTTCTAATTAAAATGTCTCTTTAATACCTAGTTTAATATAATAATATTTATATATATACTAATATTATAGTCTGTTGAGTAATAAGGAAATAAAATAATGGAATATTTACGAGTGTTTACTTTAGTTTCCTGTTTCTATATATAGGTACGAAGTTAATATTTCAGATTCTGAGCTCAGCAATGAATAATATGAGGTATATTGTAGGTATTAGTGCTTGATTTTACAAAGATGTATTTTATATTTTGAAGGGAGCGATTGATACACAGAATAGATTAAATTTAATCTATTCTGTGATTGATATTTCGTTA